ACAATGTCAATGATTGGTCAATTTTTCATTTGTATTATCTAAATTATGTTATATATTGATTGATATATTAAATATTTAATTTTATACTTTAGCTTGATGTTATAAATTGGTTGATAATATACAATTTAATATTTGATTTAATCAAGTATTTGAGAACTTGACTTGATCATAGGTAGTGCATAAAACCCTAAGCCATTAATAATGCAAATGCATCAGGTTTGGTAGTTAAATCAAAGATGTAAAAAAAGGCATCTAATATAGCTTTGACAATGCACACCAAAAGCATTAAAAGGAACTCCAGTAATGCTCCATCAACAGGAACTTTATTAATGCTCAACATTGCGCTGTTATTATTCTGACACTCTGATTTTACAGCTGTTGATGGAATCAATCTCTCTAAAAGCTACCACAGAGTTTGGGAAACCTTACTATTAGCTAGCCTCAGTACCATTAAGTTTAGTTTTAGAGCTTCACCTTCACTGAAAATAGCAGAATGATTTGCATAGCCACTAAGGAGTTGGTTCGAGACTGGTAAACAGAACTTTTACCCTTACCTTACATTTACACCTTGAATGTCTCAGAGACTTTGTTCAAGACAATACCAAGATGTAGTTAACATCCCAAGATGATTCTTTTTATTGAGGTGCCTTCTTTAGCCGTTACTTAACTAAATTTATTTTAAATAGATGTATTTTAAATTATTGTTATCTTCTCCTACCTGTTGCCAATCCAAGTGAATCATACATGGCAGCTGGACATATGGCAGTTTGTACTCAATTAAATGTTAGCAGTAACAGGGTGATCACAACGATCATGAACTTGTTTTTACCTGGTGTAGTTAAAAGTAATTATTTCTGTAAACAGAACTCTAACTTATTGCTCAGAAGCTTTTGAATTTACTTTAAAAAAACATATCTAAAGAAATATTGCAATTTAAAAGGAGCATTCTGTTATATAGTTACTCAACTAAGATCCACAAGATAGGTGTATTTTGAATTATTGTTACCTTCTCCTAATTGTTGCCAATCTAAGCGAATCCTACATGGCAACTGGACATATGACAGTTTGCACTAGACCAGTAACAGAGTGATCACAATGATCCTAAACTTATTCTTACCTTGTGTAATTAAATCACTCAGATCACTTAGTTGCTGGACTCAAAAGCTGTTAGTTCTGTAAATAGAACTCTAATATATAGCTCTAGACCTTTTAAATTTACTTTTAAAAAACATTAAAAAGGAATATTGCAAATTAACAGGAGCATTCTGTTATATGGTTGTAGTCATTAGTCAGTCACTGAGCTAACACAACACCAGAGGTTTAAAGGGTACACAATCATACATACAGTAAATTTTATGTGAGCTAACACTGCACCAAAAGTTCATACAGAATACAAACACCTCACAGATTCAGGTATAACACAAACATACATATATAGTAACTTATGGGTGAACACTGTGATTTAGACATTTTTAACAAGATAAAAACAGATGTTGCTCTTTAATATAACAGATAATATTAATAATAGGTTGTAAGTTAACTTCTCATAGCTTTTGCTGAGAAAGGTTATAAAGTTGTGATCAAAATATTTCATGAATTTTCTATGAATATGTAGTGTTTACTTTACAGATGAAATGTATACGCTTAAACCTTTAAATGTATACACTTAAACTTTAAAGGTTGAACTCTTAAACATTCAACCTTTTTGTTGTAGAAGAATAGATAATTTTAATAATCAAAGAACTTGTTAAAAATTAAAAAAAATCCATATTTGTTTGATCGTGTTCTTTGATATGTGACTGAGGATTTCTCAAGAAGTGTGTGTGGTTGCATGCCTTGTTTATCCATGTTTAAAATATTTTTTTTTTAGACAAACTGACTGCTACAGTTCGCATCTTTTAAACTTATAAAGTGTTTCAATAATTTGCAGCAAAAAGCAAAACATATCTATTAAGAAAAAATAAAACAATCCTAAAAATAAAGGAAACAAAATTTTAACAAAATATCAAGTTTATTTAAATAAACAAGAAAATTTAATAATTAAAAAAAGTAAATAAAAAAAATTTTTTTTTGATAAAATTTTTATACAACTTTTGTATTCTTTTTTTTTTAAAGTCGTTGTTGAAAAAAACATTATCTTTTATAGCAATTCTTTTTTTTAAAGCCGTTGTTGAAAATAACATTATCTTTGAAAAGTTTGAAAGTTTTGATATAAAGTTTATTCACAATTTTTATCAGTCCATATAATTAAGAAACTAATTTACTATGTACGCTGGAACTATAAGAAATTTTGTTAATTTTTTTTGCGGTTATTTGTTTATTCTTTTTATCGTCTTTTCGGTTTTAAAAATTAAATTAAAAATGCACTAGCCAACAAAATTTTGCATTATCGTTTAATTTTTTTACATCAAAAACTTGTAAAAAAAACAAATTTACAATTAAATAGCAATTAGTTTTCTTGCTTTCCTGTGCACAGATAAAAACGGTAAAGTTTAGCAAAAACATTTGAAAAACAGATTTAAAATTTATTTCTAGCGCAATTTATAAAGTATTTCCTTTATATACTGACTGAATAAAGTTGCAAAAAAATTGTATATCAATAAACATTTCTATTTTTCGTTATATTCTTATCTACTTTTTTTCTCAACTTGTATTAATTTTGTTAGTGGAAAATAATGTTCTAAAAATATAAAAACAAAATTAGTAAATATTTGGGTATACTATTTTTTTGACAACAATTTCCTTTTTTTATTATAAAATTTTTTTATTTTGTTTTATTTAGATTTTCTAATTTGTATAGTCTTCGATTCTTTTCATCAAGTATTGCTAATTCATTCTCTAGTTTCTTATGGCTTTATTTTGCCACAAATCCTTAAAACGCTTACTATTTAAAAATGTGGTCAAGTAGTCTAAAAAAGTTACTTCAAGCGTGGTGAAAAAAGTTTACTTTAAGTACAAGATGTGCGACTGCACCCACTTCCTGGTAAAGCTTGGTGACTAGCACTGTGTGATTCAGCAAGTTTCACTGCTTGAGCCTGAATGCCAATAGCTTAGCATTAAAATAAGTCTATTATTAACCAAAGTCAGCTGGCTGACATCTGATCAGAGATATTTCTGGGTTAAGAGGTATTTTTTTTCAAATGCATCTGTAAAGTTCTTATCTAAAACGGATTAGGGTAGTGCGGTGCTGAGGCAATTGAAAAAGGAGTATTTGCATAAGCAATTGACCTGGCTGATCCTACCAAAACATCACATTGACCAAAATACCTCAGTGCAACATTTGGTAAGATCTATCAAGCAGAAGTAGCAGTTGACTGAAAGGTCTTTTGGTTGCTGTTAAGTTTTTATAATAAGCAAGCCTCAAATGTTAATCTTATCTTATGATATTTGCATTTGAAATGAGATGTTGAAAACTTTAACAATATTTTTTATTCTCTTACTCATCAGTAACATAAACAATGATTTTTTATAAAAAGTTGGAAGATCAAAATAAATTTTCCAAAAAATTCTCTAAACTTTTAAGTAATAGTTTATAAATTTTCTATAAAGTTCTTTTTTTTTTAATATTTTTTAAAAACAGACAAATTTTAAAATGTTATTATCTCAATAACTTTTGAAAAAATTATCATAGAAACAAAGTTATTTTAACAAAAGTACTTTCTATTTGTTGAATTAAAAAAAGTTAGAAACTTTGTACTTGGCAATATAAAATCCATAAGTGATAAAAGTTTTGTTTTTGTTTTGATTTTGACTTGTCTGTTTGTTTTTTTTGTTGTTTTTTTCTTCATATTAACAACATTTTCTAACAAATTTTATATCTCGTTGCTTAAAAACAACAACAACAACATAAGTTTAATTTTCAAGTTATAAAATTTTAAAACACAGTCTAATATTATATTTGTTTTAAAATATTTAGGTTGGTGTTTGCCCACTTCTTGATAATTTGCCTGGAGATAATTACTTATATCAAATAATAGTAAATACTGGTAATCGGAGAAACGCTGGCACTAAATCTAAAATTTTTTTTACTATCACTGGTAAGTGATTTTTTATTTTTAAATGTTATATTTATTAAATTGTGACTTAAATCTGGTTTATTGATTTATTTCTCTTTTGTTTTGCTGCAATTTTAAAAATAGATATTCAAAGGTTTTTTTGCGGCCCTAGAAATATATATATTTTATCTATAATATTAATAATCGCTCTGTAAGTTATTCAACCTTTATATAACTATTATCTATACTATAGATAAAATATCAATGATCAGCTGAAATAATAATAACTGAAATGTAGACAATCAAACAATTTCTTAGACAATCAAATTTTTTTTTTAAACTTTCCCTAATTTTTGTGCTTTATGCTTTAACCTTATACTATATGTGATTGTCTAATATATTATGTAGGAATGTACCGGAATTCTATTCCAATCAGAATTTTGTCTGGAATTTATGAGTTTTAGGTCATTCCAATTCTGGCTGGAATTACAATATTTCAGGTCAGAATGCTGGAATTTATTTTTTATCTTTTTTTTTAAGACACGTGACACAGACTGTATAAATTAAACCAAAAAATTAAAATTAAATCAAAAAATATCAAAATTACTGATTAAAAAAAAACTACTTAATATAACAAAGACATTTTTTTTTTTAAATTAATAGAAAAATTATAATAAAATGCCCATAAACATGTTTCAAATTGTAGTAGAACACATTTTGTATATAGCATATCCAACGAGAACAATGTTATTTTTAGTTTATGTTATAAAATTAAATGCATTCAAAACTGACGAAAAAAAACAAAAAAACAAGTTAAACAAAAGAATTAAGTTAACTCCCTTCTTTCTAATATAGGTAAACTCTTTGAGAAGACAATACATGCAGACTCTATGCTTTTCTTGAAAAACTTAAATGCTTTTACATCAGTATGGATTTTGTTCCAATCACTCCACAACTAAAGCTCTCATTGAGATAATGGAGTTGATTAGAAATGCAATCGATGATAAATTTTTTGCATGTAGTGTATTTTTTAATTTACAAAAAGCATTTGATACAGTAGATCATTCAATTTTGTTGAAAAAATTAGAATACTATGGGATCAAAGGCATAACCGTTAAACAGTACTAATTTAATTTAATAAATTAAATTAATACTAAATTTAAATGAAAGAACGCACATTATTTCTATCAATGACTCAAAATCCTTGTAAAATGTTCTAATGGTGTTCTCAGGATTCAGTACCATTCCTTTTCCTTCTTTATATTGATGATCTTCATACACCCATTAAGTTTGCTACTGTTTACCACTTTGATGATGATACTTATCTAATGCTAATTAATAATTAAAACTTTCAATAAAAAAAAAAAAAAAAAAGAAAAACAACATTAGATTTAAATGAAACAAGAATCAGATTTATGAAATAGGTTATATATATGTTATAGGTTATAAATACATATTGTAGCTACAATGCTAAGGTGCAAGCTTTCACTTTCAATCTTATAGGTAAAATATTACATAAATATAATTCTCATTCTGGCCAGAATTTTATTAACAGTTCTGGCAAATCCAGTTCCAACCAGAATTACAAATTTCCAATCCGGTACACTCCTAATATTAAGAAACTTATATTGTCATGAAGACACATAATGCATAAAAAACGCTTATTTAATAAAAAATATTAAAAAATAAATATTTAATTTGAATTGATATGCACTTTATAGACAAGACCAAAAAAACAGTGCAAAAGTTGATGGTGTTTGCATTTAATCGAAGTTCGATTTAATGAAAGACAAAAATTTTAAAACCTACAGTTTGTTTAATATTTGTTGTTTTTGAAAATTTTATACAAGTGAGAACTTTATATAAACAAAACTTTTATACAAAAGAAAACTTTATAGATTTATTAAATGCAGTGTTATATAAAGCTTTAAGCAAATATTTAAAACATTTTTGTACATTTGACGATCTTGTAACTTGAGTTCAAAATACATAATTTAAGTTTAAATAAGTTTTATTATTAAAAAAAAAAGTTTTTCTTGCTAATAAACTTTAATTAGTAAGTTATTTTTTTTAATTTGTTTTATTTTATAAATGTCCTTTTTTATTATAAAGTGCATTGCATTGAAAGGGTGTTCATGAAAATTATATGTATTAAAAGAGTGTTTCTTTTTTTACATGTAAAATGCTAAAAACTTGTTTTGCTACTTTTGGGAGTATTTTAAAAAAAACTCCAAAAAGAACCAACTACTAAAGGTAGTGTTGTTGCGAATGTAGTTTGCCAAAAGTATCAAAAGTGTACAAACTTGATAAAGGTTAATAAAAGTTTATAAAAGTCACAAAGAAGAGTAACTTTTATTTTTTTTATTATGAACTATGTTTATATGCTTCAATATTATTTTTGCTTTCAAGAATATAGATACTATCTGTTTTGGAACTAAGTCTATTTTAATTTTTAAATATATATCTGTTTTGCAGTATCGTTTAATTAATGGCTGTTAAAGAAATTAAACGGTTGCTAAAATAAATTAACAGCTTTCAACGGAAAATTACTGTTAATAATTTTTAAAGGAACAGATTTTAATAAAAATTCCATTATTTTTTTTAATGCAATGGAAATTAAAAGTTTTAAATGGAGAGTCAGACACTCATGCCTAATGTTAATGGTATTTTAATTAGTGGTGGTATTAATTATTAACAAATTGGTTGGAATGAATTGGGATCAAAAAATGTTGAAGGTCCTGAAGACTTGTGCGACTTGATATTAACAGAATGCCAAGAGTATATCTTTAGTATATCATATGATTCATATCAAATTACACTACTACATTAGAGATACTAATGAATCAGTGTCGTTGGAATCACAAGTTGATTACAATATTATATTGACATGCACACATTTTAATGATGTAGATTGAAACAAAGCAAATAAAAAAAGTAGAGCAAACAAGAAGGGAAGAACGAAGAAAGTTATGAAATTTTTCTACATTATTATTAAGTTGCTTGCAAAAGTTTCATACAAAAAAAGCATAAAAAAGTTTTTTTTAAAAAACTATTTGGTTTAACCAAGAGTTTAAAAAGAAAATTATTGAAAAAATGAAAATTGAAAATTGTTAAAAAAATGTTATAAAAACTGTTCAAACAAAAATTTACTATGGGAAATGAATAGAAATTAAAAGTGGAAAAATCAAACTTTAAAGCAACAATACTACTTGTTAAAAAAAATCCAAAAAAAGAAGTAAAGACATCCAATTTGGAGTTTGAATCACATCTTATATAAAAGTCTATTTAATTATCTAATTCAAAAAAAATCTTAAAGACAAGATTTATTCTAATGAGTGTAAATTTTTGACTGAACGTCCTGACATTGCAAACTGTCTCAATAAATACTTTGAATCAGTTTAGTTTATAATAAAAACTTTTCAACTTGTACAAACACAAAATTTAATGATAACAGCCTGCAAAGGATTATTATGCCTTGTAAAAATAGAAAATTTACAAAGGCGAGGAAAGAGGTAATCATCATTATTACATCAATTACAATACAAAAAATAGACTTGATATACTTGGAATTACAATTAACAGACGCGATGTAAGAGGGGTGATTTAATTAAAATGTACAAAATATTTAATAAAATAAATACATTGAAATGGTGCAACTTTGACCAACAATCAATAAGTGGTCACAATTATAAACTGAAATCAGAGCTGGTAAAAGACTGCACACCATATTTATTTATTTATACCACACACTCATTTATATACACCACATTTATATATTTATTTACACCATATTTACAAATCATGTTGCAACTATTTTGGAACATGTTAACTCTGTTAAAATCAATGCTCAGAGTTAAAGTAATTTCAATAGACAAATAAAAGGACTTTTAATCATTAAGAAATATTTTATAAAATGTTTAACCTAAAATACAGTTATCATCTGCTCTTGTTTTAGCACTTTATTATTATTATTACAATTAAATTTACTGGAATTAACTTTAGAAGAAGATTTTTTTGCAAAAATAATATTTGCCATAAAAAATGTAAAAAAAAAAAAAAAAAAAGGTCCTCAAATGTCGAAAACGGTCTAGAATAGAATCTGATATATTTATATATATATATATATATATATATATATATATATATATATATATATATATATATATATATATATATATATATATATTATATATGTAAAATAATGTAAGAAGCAAGAAACCAAATTCTGAGTAAAGCTTTTTCTATGGTTTGAATCAGCATAGTTTTGAGACCATAATTTTGAGTTTGACTTCTGGTTCTAAAAACTAGTTCAGATATATTCCAGAGACAAAACATACTTTTCAACAACAACAGCAATTCTGTTTACAAAATAGTCTTATTTGTGCATTTACCCAGGTTTGGCCCAATATCAAAATTTTTTCATATAAAACTAATATTTCACAATTGCTTTATTGTTAATATTTTAACAATATTTCAGAAACTTTTTTTTATTTTTTTATTTGATTTCTATATTCTTGAATGGTGTTTAAGTCTATGAGAAATTCTATATTCAACATTTGAAGATTTAAAAAAGTCACAATTAATGCATACATTAGCCTTTTTCAGAATGAAGTATGCATTAAATTATTCAGAATAAAGTATGCATTTAAAATGTCAGGTGGTTCAGATTAATTTATAAAATAATATTTTGTTGCTTCTTGTCTGCCTAAATGAATATTTTTATACTATATTTTCTATAATTTTTATAATTTCTGTTATATAATTTCAAAAATCTTTAAGTAAAAACTAATTAGCTTAAGTTGTTAAAATGTTCACAAAACAATATTTTTTCCATCGCCAATCATAAACATGAGATATTATTTTTCAGACTTTCAAAGAAATATTAGCATTTCGAGTTATTATTTCAAATTTATTTCATTTTTTTATGTAACTAACAAGTTTTATAATAGTTATTCTAACAATCAAAATCATTCAACACAATTCAAAACAATTTAATTTCGTTATTTAAAATTTTAAATTGTACTAATTTAATTATTTTGACTTTCTGTTTTAAAAATTTTTAAATTTGTTATCATAAACTTTGAGCTTCAATTCATGCTTATCTTAATGTTTTTGAAATACTAAGCTAGATTTCAAATAATACAAAAGTACCACATTTAAAACTCATATTTAAAAATGTCATTTATTACAAACTCTTCAAATATGTTTATGTTTAACAATTCTAAACTTAAGTTACATTTATACTCTAAAATTTTTTTTTTGCTTTTTAGAAGGTGTCTGCTTTTTTTCTTACTAAATTTATTTTTTACTTTTAAACAGATTTTTATACTGTTTAATCAACATTTCGATATTCTTTTTTTTTATTGTTATGTTTTCTGGTTTTCCTGCTTTTAACTTTGCTCAACAATAAATAATTTTTGCAGCTAACAGTATTAGAATTTAGACTTTACTTTAAATCTATTGTTTTGAATTTGTTTATTTATACTTTAAAATATATTGTTTGTAAATGAATTAATGAATGATTAAATAAATTCATGATTGTTTTGCATCTGTTACAATAGGTATAACAACAATAAAATCATTATAATATTTTTTATAGAAATATATTAAAATATAATTTTTTTACATTGATGACAATTATGCACATTTTTGTAAGATTGTTGAACCTTATCTGTATCTTTAATAATAAAATTTTTAAATCTATCAGGTGAAAATAATGATAGTGGAATTAGACGTTTAAAAGATTCTGAGAGAGAATGTTTTCAAAGATCAAGCTGTGACATGTTTATAATGACAACAAACAGTTCTCTTGGTGATTTAGATTATATAAGACTTTGGCATGATAATAGTGGTGGCGGTTGGTATCTAAAGTAAGTATTTATTATTAAAAAATGAACTTTAAATTTATTAGATTTACAAAGTTTAAAATAGGTTTAATATTAAATAAACTTTAAATTAAAATTAAATAACTTAAAATTTAATTTCATAATAAATAATGAACTTTAAAATGAGTTTATTATCTAATTATGAGCTTTATATTAAATTTAATAATAAATTATGTATTTAAAAGTTCATAGTCTTTAAAACTTTAAAAAAGTCAAATTCTTTTTTTAAAATGTCAAATTCTTTTTTTAAAAACTAAAATTTTAAGTTTATAAAATTTATTATTTCATACTCAACAAATCTTTATCTCAAGCTATTAAAGAAATATTGTTTTATTAAATATTGTTTTATCTCAAAGTATTTAAAAAAAGTTTTATTTGAGAGAGAATGAAAAGTAAAATAAATTTATCATAAATCTGCAGTTGATTGGTTGATACTTTATTATAAAAATTTTAATTAATGTAGTTGTTAAAAACTAAATGATAAATGATAAACACAATATGGTTTGTATAAATTTAACTATATTTGCTATTTAAAGATGTAGGAAGTTACTATAGTTGAGAAGAACTACTGAGTTTACAAATATTTACTAGAATCTTACTAGATTCTACAATCTACAAAGAGGTTTACAAGAGTCTACAAATTTTACTACTGAATGATCTACAAATTTTTGATTTTTTTTGTTAATGTTTTATTTCAAGTATTTTTTAAATTTTTTTTAATTTTATTTACTTTGCCAAAGTGCACGAGTAAGTGCAGTTAAGTAGACTACTCTTTATTTTTTAAATTATCAAAACTTACTCTATAACTATGAAATATAAACCTTTACGAAAAAAACTGCTGCTTAGAAAAACAAGTTAAATACATAAATGACTTTCCATGAACTTGGTATTTTGCACATCTTGTTTACAAAGTTAGGGCTCTATTACTGTATTGCTATGACATTGATTTTGTATTTATATCTAATAATGTCATATTTAAGAACTATTTGTAAAATTCAAACAACAATTAGAGATGACATATTATATTTTGATATTGTTTATATTTATGACTGTAGTACACAACATTTACACAACAACCAAGTTTGTTTTAAATTAGTTTTCTCTGTCTAATAAGTAGGATTTGCTCAAATATTTTTTCACTCATTTAACTATAATATATTAATTATACTAAAAAATATTTAGCAGGAACCAAAATTAAAAAAAAAAAATTATAAACTTTTGCACCTTGATGAAAAATTACCTAATACATTTACTATTAAATTGATAGCAGTAACATTGAAAAAATTCACCAATTAATAACCCAGTTTATTACTTGTTTGTGTTATTTTAATTAAATTTTTTTAATTAAAAATTAATTATGCTGTTTTCTTAATTAGATAGCTATCTTTCATTACTAATAAATTTAACTAAATACAATTCAACTTTTCATAAACCATTTGATTAATTTAATTTAGAGACATTGTAGTTGTTGACCTTCAAACTGAAGAACAGTTTCTTTTTATTGGTCATCGTTGGATTGCCATAGATCAGGGATCATGTTTGTTAGACTGCATTATACCAGTAGCATCTACTGAAGAATCTACAAATTTTACTTATGTTTTTACATCTAAAGCAGAAAATAATCTTTCTGATGAACATTTATGGTTTTCAATTTTTGCTCGTCCACCTAAAAGTTCATTTACCAGGTGTCAAAGATTGACTGTTGCTGTTTCTCTGCTTCTGACTTCGATGATGGTAAGCTCAATGTACTATGGAAAGGTAGATGAACGCCCAGATCCAAAAGCAGAAAATAAAAGTGTTTTTTTTTTCAATAAAACACAGGTAATTCATAAAAATTTTGGCAAATATATATATATATATAAATTTTTTCTCAATGATAGGTTTTTAGTTTTAAAAGTCTAACTACTGTTTTGATTTGTGAATACACTTAGCTTTACTTGTACTGCCCTTTTCTGACCCTAATACTGACCCTTTTCTGACCCTAATTCTTAGGGTTTTAATTGTAAAACAAACCAAAGTTGTTGAACTCAATTTATTTTGTTCTTATTTTTCAGACTAAAATAAGACTGAAAGTAGATTAATGTAGTAAATTATCAATGCAAAAACATTATAGCAAACAAACCTTAAAAATAAAACTAAATTTAAATGTTACTTACACATAATACCTATACACCCTTATGCACATACAGCCTGTTTACATCGTACTAACTATTAAAATTATTTAGTTATTTCGGATAATAAACAGTAAATCTAAAAAACACTGTATATATGACCATACTTAGGTATTGACATTTTCAGAACTAAAAGTACCAAGTTAAAAGTAACTTTGAGACCATAACAAAATAACAAGGAAAAACATACATCATCAAAACATGTCGAAAGCCGCTAGTTTATAAGAATTGCTCTTATTTTTATATATATAAACCCTATACTCATACCAAAATAAAAAGTATGCTAACCAATGAAAGGCCTAATAATGGGGGAAAAAAACATTAATGCTAATGTGTAAACATAATTTAAGTAGTGATTAAGTAATAAACATCCTGGTGGGAAATGAGCTAGCAACTAGCGAGCGATTAGCTAGCTTTATAGCGATTTTGTAGCGATTTTTTTTTTGTTTTTATTTCCTAATTTCTTTAATATCTTTAAAAATTCGATTTTTAGTGTTGAGTCTATTATAATTATGAGAATAATTAAACTTTAAACTTTGCGATTTTGTAGCAATGTGTCACTAGCTAAATATCATTGCTTCGTAGCTAGCTACAAAATATCTACAAATCTATAGCAGGTTGATAGCTGCACATTAAAATTTTTTAGACAGCAATTTTATTACGATATGGCGCTAACTACAAAAGCCTGTGGGTCTTTAGCTTATTAAGCTAGCTGTCTTTGTAGCCAAATTGCTGTCTTTGTCTTTACAAATATTGATAGCTTTTCGCTAACTTAAAAAAACCGATCCTTGTGGCCAAATTGCTGTTTTTATTGTTACAATTACAGCTAGCTATTCACTAGCCGATTTCCCACCGGGATCCCCTCAGAGTCAAGTCCATTAATACTGGCGTTTCAATGAGAATCAGCATTTATAACTAGTTATAATCTCGTCAGACAAATGTCATTACCACTTATGCTTTACCATACTACCTATTCAAAGTTTGTCTATTAGACTTATGTCTATTCCATACTGCAGTAAAAAAGGACTCACTACAAATAGCCAAAACCCAACCAACCCCAAATTTGTAAAGCACCAATATTTTTTTGATGATATGATATAAAAAGTGTAGATTTACTTAACAAAAAAAATAAAAATTACTAAATAGAACACTTATCATACCACCAAAATATGATAATAAATATTGCAATAAAACTAACTAAATATTGTAATAAAACCAGATAATTTTAAGCCAAATGAGTAGTTAAAAAATTAGTTGTGGGTAATATAACAATGATATAAGTCGTGATACAAAAACGATGTACAAAGCGGGAAAAAATTTGTTAAAAAGTGAAGTTTTCTCTACGGTCCGAACAAAAAGAAACTTTGAGACCATATCTAAATTAAAATTTCCGAAAAGTAAAGTTTTCTCTACGGTTCGAATTAAAAGTAACTTTGAGACCATAACAAAATAACAAGGAAAAACATACATCATCAAAACATGTCGAAAGCTGCTAGTTTATAAGAATTGCTCTTATACATATATATATATATACATATATATATATATATATATATATATATATATATATATATATATATATATATATATATATATATATATATATATATATATATATATATATATATATATATATATCGATGGTTAAGAGCACAAAGGGAATACGTCCACTAACCATTGTTTTGAGAAATCTGAATTTTAAAGTTTAAAAACATAAAATAATTCATGATATTTATTATCATCATTTTTAACCAAATACATTCCTCAATTAATTCTGTCTTGTTTTTTACTATTTTATTTTCATTTCTTTTACATACTTTAATACCTAATTTGTTTAATGTTTACCTAATGTTTAATGTTGGACATATTCCCTTTGTGCTCTTAACCATCGGCATATACATATGAATCTTTAAATGAAAAACGCAATCACACATGATAAACACATATAGATAACATACAAATCTATATCTACATTTCAACCACATATTATCTATTAAAAGAAAATATTATCTAAATAAGGATGAGCTCAAACAAAGATAGTTTATCTATAAAAGAACAAAAAGCATGCAAACAATGTAAACAGGTTGTATGTGCATAAGGGTATATAGTTGTAATGTGTAAGTCTGTACTGTTTATGTCGTTCAGTAGAGTCTTGTATTGTTAGTAACCAGCGTAAAAGATTTGTCTCTGAACTAAACCAAGGCAGCCCAGCCATACTCCAGAAAACCATGATGGATTAAACACCTATGCATGGATTTATAACTGACTTATGACTAAATAGCTAGCCCAGGCATCTTCCACAGATAAACATTCTCTTTTGTGGTGACAGTAATTGTGATTAGGAAAATAGTCGTGCTTGATGACCATAACACTAACCCTTACAGGCTAGGCCCAATATTATTTAAAAACTTTGCCATACGGCCAAATACAGTAAATATATTTATATCACATATCTACCTCATGATTTAACTTCAAAGTTGAATTGATGATAACGCAGTAGGTTTCTTACTTTATTTTTAAGTTCCTATCATTCTAGTCTTTAACAAAAAAAAAAATTATGATGTTGTATCTTAGCAGCGGTAGTATAAAATCAGTGTTTTTTTAATTAGCATAGCTTTGAATGCTACTAAAATTAATTTAGTTGTAAAAAAAATGCATATTTATCAACAGTGTGTTTTAACAACATCTTTAGCAAAAGAGGTGCAATAACTGAAATTTGTACAAAAAGAACAACTCGGTGTAGTTAAGGCGATTTACAAAATATTTGAATACTTTTATTTAGAATTAGCATGGTTTTGTCAGCATATTGTGCCCAAACAAGACCTTTAAATGTAATAATTTTTTTTACTTAAGGTTTTTATAATATTTAAAGAAACTTTTCTCTCATCGGCATTAACATGAATTTAGTTAAAATCTTTTAAAGAAGTTTCTTAATTTACTACTGATCTTAGTTCTAATCGGTTCTGACTTATATTAACTATATATAGTTGTCAAACACAATATTTCTATCAATTTTCACAAAAAATACTGGAATTCCGAACAAGAAAAAGCTTATAATTATAAAAAGTTGCCATTAAACGATCAGAACAGATCATATTGTTAAACTATAATGTTCATTTCACCTAAAAAACGTATTAATATAAAATCTTATTTAAATTTAAACGAGCGATTGTGATTTTAAGATGATTTTTTTTTTTTAATATTCCACGGTCTGGGTTTTTTTGCTAGAAACATTTTTATTTTATGATATATTCGTCTTTTCATTATTCACAGACCAGACCATTTAACGGAAATATGTCGTTGTCAACAAAATATCATACAGACTTTATAATATTTTAAAAGTGCCTTAACTACATCGAGAAGTAGAAGAAAAAATTAGCAAAAATTAGATGTTTTTAAAAGTAAAAAAAGTATTTTTAAAAAAATCGAGAACTGAAACTGCTACAAAATAAATGCTTGGATAAAAATGAAGGCTCATGTATGATAATTGTGTAGATTTTTTAAACTATTTTTTTTTTCTGCAAAAAATGCAAATAGATGGTAAAATAAAATAGAAGTACAAAATTTTCAAATTTTAATGTTAGAATAATGAATAAAAGTGAGGAATTAAAAAAATAAGAATATAATTAAATAAAAATAATAGTAAAATAAAAACAAAGTTCATTTAGCTTACAAGAATGAATAATAAAAAAGTCTTTATGTATTTTGGGTTATGAAGTGAATACTTTGTAAATCATACATGGTTACACGGTTACTATGTAACCATGTATGATAATTGTGTAGGTTTTTTTAAACTATTTTATTTTTTTACTATTAAAATTATTGCAAAAGCAAATAAATGGTAAAATGAAATAGGAGTATGAAATTTTAAAAATGTTAGAATAATTAATAAAAGTAAGTAATGAAAAAAATAATAATAAAACAAGATAAAAATAGCAGTAAAATAAAAACAAAGTTTGTTTAGTTTGTTTACAAGAATGAAAATAAAAAAGTCTTTATGCATTTTTTGTAATGAAATGAATAACAATCATAACTTAATATAATGCTTAATTAAAGTAATTTAAATTTATTTATTACTAATAGATATTTGTGGTATTGATTTCTACTCTCATCAAATTGCCTATACACCTCTTGTTCTTGAAACTTTTTCGTTCAATAAGACCATTTGAAAATTTAATACCTGATAAGTCTAGCAAAAGTTTATCGTTTGATGAAAGAAATACAGAACAAGAACATGAAGACAACAGTAAGTCTTATTTTAACTTGAATGTGCATTTTCTGAATGAGTTCATGATCATAACTATTGTAATAATAAACTCTTTTTTTTAATCTTTTTTAGATGTAAATTCAAGCAAAGAAGCATTACACATTGTTATAAACAAAGACAAACCATTAATAAAAAATAGAAAAAAAAGGTTTTTACCACATTGGTGTTTACACATTGCATGGTTTCTTTGCATTTGCAATATTTTAGTTTGCAGCTTTTTTGTTATGTGGTATGGAGTCAAATTTGGAAATAAAACATCATTGAATTGGCTAGCAAGTATTACTATTGATTTTGTATGTACTACTTGCATTATTTCTGCTTTTCTTTTTTTTTTTTTTTTTTTTTGTTGTATTTATTTCCTTAGAGATAAAAATATAATGGTAATGAAAATAAAAAAGTGACAATAATAATAAGTATTATAATTATAATAATAAAAATGATAATAAAAGCAGTGAAATTAAGAGTACTAATAACATTTTGTTATTTATTATTTCATTAAAAATAATAGTACTTTACAAATATGGTTGAAGTTGGATTTTTTTCTTTGTTTTTATTATTTATCCGCCTTTATATAAAAAGTTTTTTTAACAGAAATGTTTCATATTTTTCTTTCGTTGCTTTATCTAGTTCAAGCACTGCAGATCAAATGTAACAAAAATAAAATAGTTATATGATAATAACAATAATAATAAAAATAACAGTAATAATAAGAGTACTAATAAAGTTCATTCAGTTTAATAAAGATTAACTTGAAATACTAAGGTTAAAAAATTTAAACTAGCATTAAGACACATCCAAAAGAAGAACAGTAGGGCCAAGCGGGGTAAAATGGGTATAAAACTGAAATTTCATTTGCTGTTGCACTGGTTGAACTGTAATTAATTTTACTGAATTTTTCTTTCAAAAATTTTAACCTGTTTAGAATTAAAATCAATTTATAAAGAATATTTTTATTTTACAATTTTTGAGATAGGGCCTATACCCATTTTACCCCATGGTATACCCATTTTACCCCAGGGTGCGGGGTAAAGTGGATATACTATTGGTTAAAATGGGGAAGAGGTTCTGATGGTAAAACTTAAACGTTTTAAATAAAAATTACTTTTTAAATTAAAAATAACCATACTTTTCTGAAATTTGATTCAAACTTAAAAAAAATTACACTTTTTAAAATCAAAATGTGTGTGGATAGTATACATTTATACTGCACATATGTATATTTGAGTGAGGATGATCCACAAAAATCATTTAGTCTTACACTTCCTTGATTAAACAAGTCTCACAAATCAATCTAGCTAAGGGAATTTGTATTGTTCATGACTATTGCAGGAAGAATGTAGCAATTTCTTCAAAATGTTGTTATCCACTATGTCATCAATGTCATCCTTCTCAGGAAAAACATAGTATGGCCCTAATGTCGCAGTAATGGCAAACTGTCAGAAACTTCACAGTGTATAGGCCTTCATCTAGGGTTTCAATCACAAGTCCGTAGAACTCATGATTAATCTTTTTACGAGCATACTTTACCAGCACCCAATCCCCAACAATTACATTGAAGTTGTCCTTTTCTTCATGGACTTTCTCAATCTCTTCAGTCATTATTTCTTTTGTTTGTCGGTTAGGCCTACTAGTTTGGCTTGCATTTTTGAAACCTGCTATTTTGGATTTTTTTGCCAATCTGTCTTTCTCTTTATTAAACATCCTCTGTGGTTAAGACTTTTCCAACCTTTGCCTGCACTCTTTTTCTTTTTCTTCCAGCATTGCTAATTGCATCCATGTTTTTTCATGAACAACCTGGTGGTTCATGAGCAGCACAGGTTTCTCAAAATCTTAAATGCTTTTTATGAAATGTTTAAACCATGACTCAAAAATTGCATCTTCCATCTATCCTGACTTTGTTGTTGCATAACCTGGAGGTCCACCTTGCATCCATGACATCTTATACAGATGTAACCCTTATTACATAATAAATGGAGGCATATACCATCCTGAGGCAGATATACAGAAAAGAACACTGTAGCTTGCTTTACCTCCACATGCTGATTTCAGATAAGCAGTACGTGATGAAATTAGCACAAAGGCTTTAGAAGCAATAGGGTTTGTCCCTAAACCAGCTTTATCAAGATTAAAAATCCTGTGCAGTTTGTCAATAAGATCATTTTTAACTAAGACATCTTCATACATTTGAAAAAAGGCATTGGCTACACTTTCTGTCAACCCTTCTGCCCTTGCTTTGGTTAACAGTTCAGGCTTTCGTTTTGAAAGTTTCCCTTTCCATCTCTTTTTAAACCCAGTAATACAGTTTTCACCAGGGCAGTTGTCTTTAAAGGGATTAGGTATTTCTGTTTCTTGAATAAAACACTTAACCATTGATATCAAGTCAGAACGATCCCATGGAAATCCACTATCAGCTAAATAGCACAGTATGCATACAATTAGGCGTTTCTCATTAGCGGTAAGAACGGGGAGTTGTCAGAACAAACTCGCTTTGGAATTTGATCTACCCATTTTCTTAAAGTTTCATATAGAATTTTATTTTCCCCTGAAACTTTGTAAAGTGAACTTCTTTGTTCAATGATAAGTCTTGCATTTTTGGAATCCTCCTTTGTATAGTTAGGTTGTGTTTTGCAGATATAATTCCTCGGCATTTTAAATCAAATCAGAAACCATTGAAGGCCTGCAATAAAACAGAACAAATGAATTAATGTATATTCATTTCTGCATTTAATTCATATTACATAATATTAAAAGCTGCTAGATATCACTGCAACTGTGACTATAGCTTATCTTAGTATTTGCTATACCTATTTTCCTCCATTCTGGTTTTAACACTGGTTCTAACATTTAAAATTGTTTGGTTTTTCACTGTTCGTTTACTTTTTCGCTGTTACTATTAACTAAAAAAAGGAATTTGCTTATAAATCTGTAATTTGTGACTGTGTATGTTAAATACATCACACTGTTGGTAAAAGCACATGGAAACCAAAACCTAATGGTAGCACACCCTGTAATATTTTTCTAAAAAGTAGTTAAAGAGACCAATTAGAGTGAATAGAGAATAGACAAAAAATTTAAATTATTTTTTTGCTTATGCGACACAATGATCGCAAAAAGTGACCAATGGAGCCGTCCAGTTACGTAGACCTGGGAGATGTGAAAATAAAAACAGATTGAAGATGATGTCATTTAGGTAAAAAAACATAAATTAATGCAAAGACTATTAAGTAGGAAGAGTAAAAGTTAGCAACTCAGGAAAAGAGGAATAAAAACTCACACTCTAGTCATCTTTTAGCAAATGATGAAACAATGATCTATGAGTAAACAAGTCAATAAAAATCCGCTGGTTTATAATGGTATTCATAACTAAAATAATCGCACCATACAAATGTCTAATAAATGTGGTACTATATATGTTCTAAACTCTAGATAAAAAATTGAGAACCGATAATCACCTGTGTAACATAAAAATATATAAATGTCGTAAATGTAACAAATACATAATAAAAAGCTCACAAAGCGCAAAAATACATGGGTTAAAGAGGTAAAAAAATGTTGTTGCCATAATAACCAATTAGAATTAAGTAGTGGATAAATGGTGATCCCCCTCCTCAGGAATGCACTGCGATCACCAATGACGTTTCGGAGAGCCCGAGACCTGAACTAACGTTACTCATCAGGGGCGTGTCCTAGCAACAGATCTCACCGCCTGCACTCTACGTCATGCTAGTCAATATTGCAATATAATAGGACTATACTACAAAAGCCAATAAACTAATTCCCTATCCCAGTTTTTTAAAAACAGCTCCAACATTCTTAGAGATCTCGTGAGGGTGGTGAGGGATCCGCGTGGTATAGCTGTATAAATGTGTGTAAATACACGCACTCACAACATAAAATAAACACATATCCCTCATATATACATACATACATACATACACAATACATACATACATACATACATACATACATACATACATACATACATACATACATACATACATACATACATACATACATACATACATACATACATACATACATACATACATACATGCATGCATGCATGCATACATACATACATACATACATACATACATACATACATACATACATACATACATGCATGCATACATACATACACATGAACATATCTATACAAAATAGTAAGACAATTTGTTCAGAGAATATAAACCTCACCTGATAGATGGAGATAATTCCTAACTGAAAATAGTATTAGATGATAATAAATAAATACATTGAAACCCAAGATAGCCAGCTAATACACAATATAATTAGTGGATACACCAGAAATGAATAATAATTTAATATGTAGAATACTACATGAGAGTGGATCGACACAGGTCATTAACGCATAATCGATCAAAGAGTATCTAGCGGACTAAAAAAATCTAAAACAAAGATTGTTTACATAATAACCATAAGAACGCTATTGAAGACTGTAAAGTGCAAAACTAAAACAAACTGGCTTATCAACGTCAGATAAATTTTCTTAGGATCAAAAAAATCTAACAATATGGTAGTCGAATACAAAAAGTATAACTGAAATACATGATATTAGAGTGACTAATGTCATGTAATAAAAAAAATATATAAATGTAATAGAAAAAAATTAAAAATTAAAAGTAAGTAAAGTGGCTAATCTACCACCTAAAGGGTGGTAAAAGTGATAAATAAATGGATCTGTCTTGTAAAGAACGCATGCTAAACTTAATCTATTTTTGTCTTGTTTTGGGGCGTTCCATATGTAAAAATTGTATAGCAAAGTTTGATCGTTGTAGTCCTTGTGTGGTTAGTATGTATTATGTAAGATATAAAATGCATTCAATGCATGTGATATTTTATTTTTTTATTCTAAATAAAATATGGATAAATCATTTTGTTTATCTTCAAGGTTTTTCCATTCACACAGACAAGGGTCCATGTTTAAATACCTCATAGAGTTAAGATAAATGTCAAAATAAAACCATCTATGTGAGTGGTTTTCAATGTTTCTAGCTAGCCACAGCAGTTGGTATATTAAATTAAATGAAGTGAGGAGAGAGATTGATTAAAATTTTTATGCTGATCATATATGATGAAAATAAACTATTTTCATAACTTTATTTTGGAAATGGGTTTTGGAGATTAAAACTTTGGAAATAATAGCATGCCGCTAAAATTGTCCCTAAACATGACAAAGATTATATATATATATATATATATATATATATATATATATATATATATATATATATATATATATATATATATATATATATTGATTGATGTTAAATTTGTATTACAATAGTAATACAAAACTCTATTTCGGTTAAGAGTGCTCAATAATAAAGAAAGTAAACAACTTTCTAACTAGAGCGGTATATATATATATATATATATATATATATATATATATATATATATATATATATATATATATATATATATATATATATATATTTATTTATTTATTTTTATTTACATATAGAAAAAACAACTTTTCATGGGACTAATAGTTTCATGCCTATACGGCAATCATCAGCCATGTACTATATCAAAAACGAACAAACCGTTAATAAAATTACAAAATACAGTGGAGCGACATCTGACGTCTCTATAGAGACAAAAAAAGAAAACGTCAAAGAAAATCTTATATATTATTATAAATCAGCTAATTGCCAGTATCATAAAACGAAAGAAGGAATTTATTTTTATGCCTACAATTTGAAACCAACTTGTTCCTTTTGTTCAACAGGTTTCCCCCTGTATGCGTTAAAATAAAATACTTTTCATTAAGATGAAGATTGCAAATTTTGGACGAAGGATTATATGTTTGGCAGCGCTTGATAATTTTCCATTTAATAACAAACGAAAAGTTTTCTTCTTTAAGTTTCCAAATTTCTTTAAATAACTTCGTATCATTGCTGTACTTAATTAAATTAAAAGATTTTAAATGGTTTGCATACCTTAACTTAAAAGGGGTCTCGCTAATTTCAATATAAACTTTATATTGGTATTAAAAGTTTATATTGGCGAGGTATCTTTTCTTATCAAATTTTCTGCATTTGATGCTGCAATATCAAACAACAACGATAGTTTATTAGTAAAACTCAGAAGTTGAGCTGCATAACATTTTTTTTTTTGCATTTTTAATCAAGTTCTCTCTAAGATGAATCAGATGTAGTGTCATTCTGACAATATCTTTCTTCTGTTTTGACAATATATAATATATATATATATATGTATATATTGTATATATATATATATATATATATATATATATATATATATATATATATATATATATATATATATATATATATATATATATATATATATATATATATATATGTTTGTGTGTGTGTATATATATACAACACTTTAAAAATGAGGTATGGCCTAAGCTTTTATTAACTTCAGATACAATTTTTAGAAAAATAAAAATCGAAGAACCAGTTTTAAAGACCAAACAAGCAGAAGTAATAATTTTTTTGTCTGGTTTACTTAACCGGAAATCTTGAAAAATGTTAAGAGATTATTATCGAGAATGTTGTCAACTTGCTTTGCAATTACTCAACCCAAAACAAATAAATATATAGTGGCACAAACCTGGGGCCTTCCATCATGCTAGATGGATGTGTACAATCTTGTACATATCAAAGATGTTTGCTTTTGCTGACGAGGCAGAGTATGAAGAAAGTTTTATAGAGAAATTATCACGGTTTTTTAAATTTACTTTACTATTTTATGTGAAAATATGGCTTGCGTGCACAAGCACAGTCGATGCCCCATTTAATGACTTGGAATTCTACAAAGAAATGCTTATTTATAAAAATATTGACAATGATGTTGCTGTTGCTGCCCTGGAAACATTTAATTGACATCTTTAGTATTTAACCAAAGAAATGTCCCCTCTTTCATTATTTTCTGATAAATCATCTTATAGAAATTTTTAAAAATAATAAAGAAAACTGTGAACACGATATAGGCTTTCCACAATTTCCTCTTCTGAAGCAGAGTACTTGTTTGACTGATTTAATTGGACCAAAATCAAGTAACATTCTAAATTTATTGGGATATTCAAATGAGGACGGCTTTTGGTATATTAAAGGAGTATATTAAGGATTGTTTTAGGGCAAAAACAAATTCAAGGGGTTATAAGGGGGGGGAGTCGTCAAAATTGAATTTTTTTTGAAAATAACTATTGATTAAGTTTTATCAAACAAAATTACACAAGAAATAGTGTTTTTTATTATTATTGGAATAGACAATACTATTTCTAATATATATATAAATTATGTTAGTGTATTTTACAAATAGATTGCTCAATGTTCTTAAAGAACAGAGCAATAAATTAATTAGTAAAAACACTTATCTAATTTTTATTTTCTTCTACAACTTGTTTCTTCATCAGTAGAAGCATTAGAAAGAATTTCTAAACATCAAAAAATTCAAATTATAGAAAAATTATTTCATAGGAATGGTTTTAATTGGGAGTTGATATAATTAATTATGTAATAACTGTAGTATTTTTTGCAACCAGGAAGCTGCATCAACTACATTAGGTAATTAAAAAATCATAAAAAGAATTCTTTAAAATTAGGATAATTTTAGACTGGTCATTTGTTTTTATAATTTTTTAAAAGGAACTTATTTTCATGTCTGCATTCAGAAAATAATTCAGATTTTTTATTCAGTAAATTTTCTTGTAATTTCAAATTTTTCTTGTAAACATAGTATACATTTTTTGGAAATGTTGTTGTATATATATATATATATATATATATATATATATATATATATATATATATATATATATATATATATATATATATATATATATATATATATATATACAAACATACATACATACATACATACATACATACATACATACATACATACATACATACATACATACATACATACATACATACATACATACATACATACATACATACAAACATACATACATACATACATACATACATACATACATACATACATACATACATACATACATACATACATACATACATACATACATACATACATACATACATGCACACAGACAAACAGACAAGCATACATACATATATACATACATAAATTTATGTTTATGTTTTTTAACTTTCTTTATTCTTATCTAGACTAAAGAGATATTTTTAACTGAGCCAATTAAAATATTTTTATTGGCTATTTTTGTTGCTCTTGTTGTCAAAAATGTTCATGAAGAAAATGAGTTTGAAAGTAAAGGTAATTTTTTGTAAATTTTTAATACGGTTCTGATTTGATTTTCTTTGTCTAATTTCTATAAAACAATTTTATGTAATTATTCCAAAACTGATTATTAATTTTAAACAAAAAGGTAAAATGTTGGCTCTTGATGAAAGTTGGCTTCACAAACCAAAAAATGAAGCATCTATTTTTGAAAGACCAGATATTGAAATAAATCCTCTTGATTCGTCAACATTAGCAAATATGAGAGATTTAAGATTTAAAAACTTAAAAATGGCTGCTATAACACAAGAGTTAGTTTTGTACACTTTTTATGCAGTTTTGGTATTGTTGATTGGTTTTTCAACACGGGAAAATGTCGCTTTTTGGCAAACTCGCAACATTCAAAATCTTTTTAACCTTGTACTTAGAGAGGTTCCACGGCCGAAAGATTATGTTAACATTTACAACCAGGTTTATTTCATAATAATTTTTTTATAACATTTTGTTCTTGTTTTTGTGACATTTTTGCATTTTATATTTTTGTTGACACACTGTTGTAAAAACTTTATACAAAAAACGAGTAAACAATAGATTAACTTTATCCAACACAATTATGACTATATTTTTTTAGCAAACCAAACACATTGAAACTTGATTACTTATATTTAATTTGTTAGTTTGCTGATATGTTAATACATTAAAATCCTTTATTGATGTCTATTTTTATCATTACTTATTGTTTCTAAATAGTAAGATTGAGTAATCTAAATAGTTTAAATAGTAATTCAAATTAATATTGATTGAGTAATTAAGATTTAAGAATTTAAATAATATAATATATTTTTATTGAGTATTGAACTATACTAGTTTAAAAATCCAATGCTTTCTCACTTAAAATGTTTATTACAAAATCAAACAACACAAACTTTTTTAAATGTTCAATATTTTTCTACAAACTTCTCCATCATTAATTTCATGGAAATCAATGATGGAAAACAAACCACAAGTTTCATGGAAACATTAAATAAACTTCTTACTTTTAGTTTACAACATTATCACTTACTTTAACACATTGTGTTAAAAATTAGTTTTTTGTTTAGTGGACAACTATTGATCTTTTTTATTATCTTTTGTTCTCAGAACAATAATAATTTTTATTATCATGAAATGTTGACAAAAGGCCTTTTTTTTTTTTTTTTTTTTTTTTGATCATTTTACTATAATTATGGAAAAGTTTTTTTTTTTTTGGGGTGTGCAGATCTTGTTGCTAATGATATAAGATTTTTTACAGCAGTTGATTTTATGTATTTTCAAAAATTACAAAAATAAAAGTTACTGATTCTTTCATTAATAAAAGAAAAAAAATGTGCTAAAGTGCAATTGATAATTTTAAATTTTGTTTAAAGTATATTTATTTTATTATTAAAAAGAAATTTAATAATTGCAAAGATTTTGAAAATAGCAGGAAAAGCTACAAGAAAAATAAATGAAAAGGTTGAATAATAATAAAAAAAATTAAAGTGGGAAGAGAAAATGGTCTGAGTTACATACAACAATTACAAATAACAACAAAGTAAGAACTTCAATAAAGTTAACAATGTTAAAGAAAAATAATTGCACATTTTATATCTTTGCTCATTAAAATCATTGTAAAAACTGCTAATGTTAACAATGTTATTAATTAATATTAGTTAACAATAATTTATCAAGTATTAAGTTATTCTTGTGCACAATTATTAAAGTTGAATACTTAATATGAAGAAGACAATCATTTTATTAACACTAATAAAAGTAACTAATGTTGCATAAAACAAGATTTTTACTAAAAAAAAATTTTCAAAGAATTCTATTACAAAAAAAAAAAAAGTACAAAAAAACACAAATTTTGAAATTTATCAATAAATCATTCATTTAATGCATTTTATGGCAAAAACTTAAATGAAAATAAAAAAAAGATTTAAAGAGAAGAAAAACAAAGTGAAAAACTGAGTATAGTTAAAAAAGTATTCTAAATACAACAACTGTTATATCTTATTATATTATTATTATAATAATATATTCATTATTTTTTCTAAGTACAATTCAATTATTCATATTATTTTCTAGGTTGCTCACACACACACACACACACACACACACACTTACGTTATTTCATTAAAAAAAAACAATATTTGCCGTAAAATACGTAAAAAAAAGCCTCTGTATATATATATATATATATATATATATATATATATATATATATATATATATATATATATATATATATATCATGTCACTACCTTGCAGTCTTACTTAAGTAAAAGAAAACTATAAATTTAATATTTTGACCCGAATTTTTTTTTTTTTGAAATTAAATTTGAAATTAGCATAAAATACTACTTAAGAAATACTAGATGAAATTAAAAATATCCACCGCTTGTTTTCTAGTGTAATTTAAAAATATTAATATTATATAAGATTCTAAAATAGAATTTTCTCATGCCAAATTTTGTTGTAAGATAATAAAGGACATATTTTTTAGCACCAAAGTTGTTTAAAAAGTTTTTTTAAGGTCTTGTTTTTGTATTTTATACTTGAGTTATTGGCATCTTTTTTCTATATTATTCCAAAACTGACTTTTTTTGTGTTATTTTTCAGGTTCTGATGTTTTCAATTTTATTTATTATCTTTGATATTTCATTAATGACTTTTTTGACATTGTTCTAACAGCTTTTTATAAGTATACTTTTTTTATTTAAAATTAAAGAATCCATTAAATTATACCATAAAGGAACTTATTTCATGCTTTCTATGAATCCAGTCAATTCTACTGCTTACAGAAACTTTTTGTAGAATTTTTCTTGGTTTGACTTTTCTTACTCTTTTATTTATAGATTCAATCATCAAAAGATTTTTGGCCTTGGATGGAAGAATTTTTTATACCTCAAGTTTTTCCTGAAAAGTGGTATAACTTAAGTGGTTATTATGCAAACACAGAAAAGAAAGATTTTCCTGGAAAATTGTTTTTAAATGATCTTAATTCGAAGATTGTGAATGGGATTAGAATTAGACAAGTTCGTGTACAGCCAAGTAAGTTATTTATAAGTTTATCAAAAATACTACTTAATACAATATTTATTTTTGAAAAAAATTGACACTTAGTGTGACCACTAATTAAGTAGTGAACTTATGGAATTTAATGGAATGCAATAAAGAGAAATAACTTTAGCAATTAAAGCAGGTGTGATTTAAATGTTAAACATCCAAATCACACCTGCTTTGATGATTGATAGAAGATTGTGGCTATTAGATTCAAAAAATAAAGGCAAATAACTTCATTTTATCTTTGGGAGAAAATAATAAAAAAGATGTTTTTTTCTCTAGAGAGTTGTTTTTGTGTAAAAGATAAAAAATGATTACAATTAGAAATAGCACACAAGAAGGTATAGAAGCTGCACATTCTACACCATTTTGTAGAATGAATTAACTGAATTAACTAACAAGAAAAAATAAAGTATTAGTATAAAGTGCAATCTGAATCTGGTGTAGAAGGAATATTTTTGTGAGATCAAAGGAACAATCTATAGAAGGGCAAGTACAAAATGAGCACAAACTGGGGTCAGACAAAAGATAAAGTTAAGATGTGAAGTTATTTGATTAAAGTTGTAGCTGGAAAATGTGTTACAAAGTAAACTGAGTAAGAGATTAAAAAAGACAAAAAATTTGATTTTTAGATCCAGTAGAGCCAGTGGTACTCGAGCCAAGGCATTCAGTATGGTAAGTATTAGAGTCAATAATAATAGCAATATTGGATGAAAAATATTGAAAAATAAATTCTAAAATAGGTAAGATTCAACAGATGAAAAGTTAAGACTATGAATATTTATAAAGGATTAAAATAACTTGGTATTAATGAAGGTTTTTTTTGTAATAATATTTTTTGGTGTTTTATCCAATGTCATAATTAGTTAAAGAATTTGACCCAATCAAAGATAATGTAAGACGTCCTTAATAATAAGATATGTGGTTGTTTTATTTTGCTAATCAACCTAAAGTTGTAGTAAAGAAGTTTTTATGTGTTTTTGACATGGTACAACAGTACCATCTACAAGGACATCATTTTTGTGCAACATAGCACTGTTAACACTATGATATTATACAGCTACTGATGGAATCAGCCTTTCTGAAAGCACAGAATTCAGGAAACTTTACTTAGCTATGCAATGTCAACAGTTATTCATTCTTTTTCTATGATTTTTGTATTTAAAAAATATTCAATCTTTGTTTTGATAAAGATTAAATACTTATTTTTTATTATTCTTTTTTAGATTCATGTATGAAAACTAACTTAGTTGTTAAGTTTATTAAAATAGACTGTTTGTCTCCATATCAAATATCTTTTGAAGAAAGAAGAAGTTTCAATTTAAATTGGACAATTCCAATGTTATATAATTCTCCCAAAAATCCAACAACAATGCCTTGGAGGTATCAAAGTTGGCAAGAACTTGATGGGTATCCATATGCAGCAGGTTTAGAAACTTACTATGGTGGAGGATATGTAGTAGAAATTTTTCCAAAATGGAAAAATCAGGCTATACTAGATCAAGTAAGAAAATTCAGATGGATTGATAGACAAACACGAGCTGTAATAATCGAGTTTGCTTTGTTTAACCCTGCCACTAATTATTTTAGCATGGTTACAATGGCCTTGGAATTCCCTGCTTCTGGAGGAGCTGTTCCTAATTATTCTGTACTTACATTTAAGCTGTATGCATCGGTGACAGGATCAAAAATTATGTTGGGTTCCCATATTCTTTTTATCTTAATAACCATACTGTTTTCTTTCAGAGAATGTCGTTTTTTATATAGAACTGGTTGTAAATATTTTCTTGAGTTTTGGAACTTAGTGGAGGTTGCATTGATACTGTTATCACTTGTAGCAGTTGGATTTTTCTTTTATAAAGGTATTTTCTCAATTTTTTTTTTTAAACAAAGCAGCTAATTTATTTTATTTTAACTTTTAATTTTCTGCATTGATTTGAAAAGTATTAAAGTTAATAAATTGTTTTTTAAGATCATCTGGCTAAGGTTTTGTTACAAAGAATACCATATAAAAAACCGCAGTCCTTTATTAATTTTCAGTTTGCTTCATATTGGGATCTGACATATGTTTACATTGTATCACTCATAGTTTTTTTTGTAACTTTGAAGTTCATCAAACTCTTGCGGTTTAATCAACGTGTCTCAATGCTATCTTCGACTTTAAAAGTTGCATGGTATCCTTTATCGATGTTTGGAATAATCTTTTCTATTATTTTGTGTTCTGTTGTATCTACATCTAACATTGTGTTTGGTAAAAAAAATTTATATTTGTATATCTAATTTTTTTTGATTATTTAAAAAAAATAAATGTTAACTAATATCAATCTAAATTTTTTTTGTTGATTAAAATGTATAACATATTTTTTATATATTTGATATATATACATATATATATATATATATATATATATATATATATATATATATATATATATATATATATATATATATATATATATATATATATATACATATATATATATATATATATATATATATATATATATATATATATATATATATATATATATATATATATATATATATATATATACATTTATATAAATATATCAAATTTTTTTTATTTTACACTGTGTTTTATTATTAAAAACTTATATGAAATGAGTCTTTAAATTGATAAAACTTCAATTCATACCAAAAATTAAATTACATGAAGTCATAAAGATTGTAATAATATATTAATAATATAATAATAGTAATAATAATAATAATAATAATAATAATAATAATATTTATTTGCATTAAAAAAAATACATTAAAATACAAAAGGGTGAGACAGGTAATCACAAGATTACAATTATGTAGCACCTGAACAAAGGCAATTTAATACAATACGCAACTTTTTTGTAAGTCGTAAGTTTGTATTTTTTTTTTAATATGAATAATGAAGATGAATCGACAGTGTGAGCAGGCAATGAATTCCATATTTTTTAAATTCTTTCACTGAAAAAAAATCTACGTGTATCGTTAGTACATTTATTGCGTGAAACTAATTTTTTTGCATGACTTCTAGTGGGGTAATGAGAATTGGAAAATGTAAAGAAATCGGAAAAAGGAAGGTCGACAAGATTGTTTATAACTTGGGGTAATCTTTTTTGGCAATACAAGAACAGTGTTTGGAAAATTTTGTGTCAGAAGATACCGTAATACCAATATCTTCAATACAGTTAACAGTCATTATCGGGGTGTCCAGGCAAAACGAATACAAATGAACAGTCAAAGACTTACTTCCAAAACATAAGTGGAAACATTTTTTGAATGCTATTTTTTGTTGCCAGTAAGCTGTCCAATTAGAGAACTTTTTTAATGATATTTTAAGGTCAGCATTGTTATTTTCGTCTTTCGTTTGGTACAATTTGCTATCGTCAGCAAACAGCTTTATTCGACAATCACCTTCAATACAAGAAACTACATCATTAATAAATAGTAAGAATAAAGTCGGAGCCAACATAGTTCCTTAGGGTATTCCAATCTTTACAAGTATGTAGTTTGAGTAAGAATTACCAATGCAAACACATTGGGATTGATCAGTTAAAAAGTTGGTAATCCAATTTAGAAGTTCGTACTTAATGCCGTAACAATTCAGTTTGTACACTAACTTAAAATGTGATACAGAGTCGAATGCCTTTTCGAAGTCAATATAGATATTATCAACTTCCTTTTTCATGTTAACAGCTGAGGTCCATTTATTAAGAGAAGCTAACATCTGTGTACATGTAGATCTACGCTTTAAGAACCCAAATTGGTGAATAGAGATAAAGTTATTAAGTTGAAGGTACCTTTTAAACTATTATCAATAATTGACTCCATAACTTTGCAACTAATACAAGTCATTGAAATAGGTCTGTAGTTCGTAGATAAGGAGGGGTTACCTTTCTTGAAAATTGGACATACATATGCGATTTTCTAAATATTCAGAATTACACCGGTTAACATTGACAACTCGAAAAGGAGAAAAAACAGGATGGCAATAATATTAGCAATCAATTTCAGGAATAAGGCAGGATACCCATCTGGTGATTTTGATGACTTTGGTGGAAGTTTTTGAAGAGCTGATAGAACAGAATCATAAGAAAATAGGAAATTATTCAAAAAATTATCGTGGGGTGGTAGGTCTAGCACAGGTTTAGTACCGATGTCAGAGACAAACACTGAAGCAAAAAAATTGTTCAGAAGGCTCGATTTTTCACAGTCATCAGTACAAAAGAAACCGTTGAGTCTTACAAGTGGCACAACAGAATTTAAACAGTTAAATTTTGAATTGACGTAAGAATAAAATTGGATTAAATTGGAGTTGTCTACTATGTATTTTTCTCGAGCAATACAGTTTTTTGTGATTTCAACATCGTATATTACAACATTTTTTTGTTTAACAAATTCCAGGTTAATATACTAATATTAAAAAGTTGTAATTTCAGGTTAATATACTAATATTAAAACGATTTCAGGTTAATATACTAATATTAACTTGAAATCGTTCACTCAATCTCAATCTCAATTACAAATAGGCTAAACCAAAACTCCTCTGATGAAAATGTATTCAATTCCTCTAAACGAATTTTCAAAAATGCCCTTAAAAATGTGAATTTCAAAATTTTGAACTAAAATTTAACCCTAAAAAAAAAACAAAAAAATAACAAATATGAACCAGAAATGTAATTTGGTTTAACTCCCATATAGCAAAAATGTTTCTCCTAACATACATAGGAAAAGTGTTTTTAAAATTGGTTAACAATTTCACACCCTCTAATAAATTACATAAAGTTTTTAGTTAAACAAAAAAAAATGGAAAGAATTATAAAAGGTCACAATAATGATTTGTTAAACAAAAAAGGTATCCTAAATGAAAAAACAACAGAAAGTTGTAATTGTAAACAAAAAATTAATTGTCCAATGAGTGAAAAATGTTTATCAAAAAACGTAATATGTAAATGTATTGTTTCCTCTAAGAATGCACCTGATAAACAAAATATTGGTTGAACTAAATGGAAAAAAAGGTTTTGCTAACCGCACGCATTCCTTTAAAAATAAACTATTCAAAAGACACCTTGCTGTCAAAATACATATGGGAATCGAAAGAAAAAAATATTGATATTTTTATATTGGATATTGATAACTTTATATGTATATATATATATATATATATATATATATATATATATATATATATATATATATAAAGTATATAATTATAAAAGGCTAGTGATTAGGGTTTCCCACTAAATTTTCGTAAAAAAATATAAAAACCAAAAAAAACATTTTGTTTTTTAAAATAACGAAATGTTTTCTAACTCTTATTAACAATGAGAAAAAAGGAAAACATTAAAAGAATAGTTATTAAAAAACTTTGTGTTAAGGTAAGACATCTCGAGTTATATTAACCGCACAAACGATATTTGGCTGTCACTTTCACCCTTAGTATCCTGTTAAATCTCGCATCCTTTTTAAGAATCTCTACTAGTGATTAGCTTGGACACAGATTAATGGAGATAATATAAGATGAAATTTTAGATGAAGATAATATGATAATAAATAGATGGTAAATAGATAGATAAATAGATGAAGATAATGGAGATAAAAGATGAAATTTTAGATGAAAAAAAATAAGCTCATTTAAATCAACTTAAGCATAGCTTTTTTATGTACTAACTGTTTTAGGTTTTGTTTTTAATTTTAAAAACTAATCAAGTTAGGCACAATGCCTCAAAGTTTAAGAAAAATGTTTGTTTATAATAAAAAATCTCAGAAATTTATTTTAACAATGTAATCAATATCTTGGATTAGTTTATTAAGGTTTGGAATTCTTTAGCCTATTTATTGTTTTCATTGCCAAATAAAATTTACTATTTTAAAATGTAATTTTTATATTTCTTGTAAATTTTTTTATGAAATAAAATTGAAATGATTTTTTTTCCAGGCTCCCTGCTAGACGGATACCAAACCTATTTTAAATCATTAGCTTCTATTATTTCACTCTTATTGGGAAAGTTTAGTTACAGATTGTTTGAAAATGCTAATTCTGTTCTTGGACCGATCTTCTTTTTTGGGTTTAATGCCATTGTAATTTGGATTGTTATGAACATTTTTATATCAATCTTAAATGATGCATTCACAGTAGTTCGTGCAAATCTTCAGTTCCAGACTAACGATTATGAGATTGTTGATTTTATGATTGTGCAATTTAAAGGTTTTTGTTTAAGATTACTTCAATTATACAATTCAATTTAAATCAATTTGATGTTTTTTGTTGTTGTTGTTATTTTTTTTTTATTATTATTATTCAAAATTAAATTAATATTTTAATTAGTTAAGCTTTTTAAAATAATGTCATCATTAAAAATGACACAAAAAATTGCTGATATGAATGACTTAAGATGTATTTATTTTTCTAGATTATATGCTCATCAATAAATCATAATCATTATTTAAAAAAGGCAAAGGATAAGTTTCTTCTTTGCGTTGATGTTTTAGCAAATTTAATATTGTTTTAAGGACAGTTAAATAACAAAAAATAAGTAAAAAGTAAATGCATAAAGATACGATTTTGTTACAGTTAAACGAATAAAGATTTTCCTTACAATTTTTTTTTTTTTAAAAAAAAACCATCGTTTATTATAAATGTTTTGTTAGAATATATTACCAAACCAATTTGTTGCAATGCGTTTTAAAAGTTAAAAGTTATAAAAAGTTGGATACAGTTTGAATTTAAATATAAAATACAATTTTTAAAAATTGAAAACATTGTTTAGTCCATTTTTTCCTGATCTATTGGATTTTTTGTTTCTTCCAAAACTATTTTTCACACAGCTCCTCTCATTGCAAACGGTGTTCTTTTTTTAAGTAATGACGATAGCTAGATTTTAAGTAATGATGATAGCTAGATTCAAAATTTGTTCTAAAACTACTTTTAAACAGTTTTTACTGATTTTTATTACATTTTAGACTGGCTTGGATTACATACTTCGAAGCAAGCAATAACAAACAACCAATATCACAATATTGAAAAATCAGAAAGCAATGATTGTTTACCGATATCATTGAAAAAAAAGTTAAGAAAAAGTCAAACTTTTGAATATAGCGAAGGTAACTTTTGCACTATCATTTTAATTACGGTGGTATTTTTTTAATATCCATTTTTTAGTTTTAACTATGTTAACGTTAACGTTTAGTTAGCAAAACGATTCACTCAGCTGAATTAGGTAGCTCAATCAATGATCGTATTTCAAAACTTTCTAAATATGATTATTTATTGAAAGAATCTGATCTTAGCTCAAACGAGTTGGTTGATAAATTCATCAGCTGTATGAATTTTGTCTACGAATCAACAAATAATAAAAACAAAGTTATATATTTTGACATTAAAGATTAAAGAACAATCAAATTTAGTTCTAGATCTTCAGAATCAGCAACAAAAACTTTATATGAAATAATCCTGAATAAACTTCGTTTTATTGATTTGTTAATACTGTTTATACATCATACGTTTGTACATGATTTTGTGGATGGCACTCCTGCATAGACATGTTTTGAAACGGTAGCAAGGTAGAATGAGAGAAATGAGCTGCCGAGACTATTTTAAAATAAAATGTAAACGTGTTTTAATATATATATATATTTTATTAAGTTTCTAAATATAAAAGTTATGAGAAATAAAAAAATTTGTTACTGTTAATATGTATTAGGTTTCTATAGTAACAAGTTAACAAACAAAACTATTTAATTTTTTAAAAATTAAAAGTAGAAAGTCTTTATTTTATTAGTGCAGAATTTTTTTTTTTTTTTATTAGTTGTCATGTAAAAATTTTTTGTAGTTTCTATGAGTTGAATATATATTGATCAAGCACTACTTTAAATGATTTTTTCTGAGGTTTATCAGTAAATTTATCTGATTTTCACATGTGATTTTATCTAGTGCTGGATTAACCAATAAATCAAATTAGGTTTTGTCCTGGGCCTTGCCTAACATGTCCATATGGGCCTACGTGGTTTATAACCTAGACATCGGTTATAGGACACGGACTTTAAATGGGTCCAATTTGGGCCAGCCGATTTAACTAATTTAACGCAATATTATGATATACATGTGTGTTTAGATAACGCAATATTCCGTCAAATGATTTTATTAAAGAAAAAAACACTGTTTTTTTTTTTTTTTTTTTTTTTGATTTATTTATTTTGTATACATTTTTATTATAAGAGTTATCAACTCGTTCTAAAATTGACATAAACAAATGGTATCAATTTAAAAAAGTAATATTATTAATGCTTCAACATAGTTATGTCTAATGATATCATTGAGCATCTTTATTATAAATGCAATGCATTTTAGTAGAGACGAGCATTAGCTGCCTTGTAATTTTAGAGATGAGAATTGCAATGTCTTGCAAAGCTTAATTTTTTTAAAATTGCTTAATGTATATATAAATATAAATATATATATATATATATATATATATATATATATATATATATATATATATATATATATATATATATATATATATATATATATATGTATATATATATATATATACATATATATATATATATATATATATATATATATATATATATATATATATATATATATATATATATATATATATATATATATATATATATATATATATATATATATATATATATATATATATATATATATATATATATATATATATATATATAGGGGAAAGCGGGGCAACATGGCGAACGTTTTGAAAGCCCTGAGTTGTTGCAAAACTATCAGCCGTGAAGCAATAATACTTTCTCAGTATGTTTAAATTGTTAAAATCCTTCATTGCCTGCATGATTTTTCAGTTGGCAAATATAACAATTTGAAATAAATATTAAAATAAAAAATTCATAAATTTGTCATCTGTCACGTGACCTGGGCAAGATGACTTATGCAATTTTTACCTCCAATTTTATAAAATTTTAAAAACTACCAATAACTCTAACTAAAGTAACATAAAATAAACACAAATCACAAAAAACTACTTATAAAAAAGTTAAACTTGAAGGACACCATCCATTACGAGAAACCGAAAGTGAAATTTTTTTTTTAAGCGCAAAAAGTAAACTTATGCGTATAAAATTGCGTTGATAATATTTCAAAAAACCAATCGGTGTTTTAAAATACAAGATGCAAATACAGTTTTGTTTTCAACCAATTTTAAGATTTTTTGTTGAGTTGTTATATGAAAACTCATCTTGCCCCATTCGCCATGTTGCCCGCTTTCCCCTATATATATATATATATATATATATATATATATATATATATATATATATATATATATATATATATATATATATATATATATATATATATATATACATATATATTTGTAATAAATACTGTAACAACTTATACTGTACTTGCAATTAGGTAAACATTTACTTTGTTATTAAACATATTTTTGTAATTCTATAAATATTTTAGTTTTTAAATTCTATTTTATAATGGATTTTTTTTTTGTTTTGTTTCAATATGTATTTATGTAAGTCAATTGTATATTGCATGTATTGGTGTTTCATTAAAATTTGTAATAATATTAAAAAAATTAAATGTTAAAAATGTTAAAAATTAAATGTTAATCTTGAGCAACATAAAAAGAGCAAGAGAAAAACTAATGTTTTCAGAAAACTCATCTGATTTAAATATTATTGTAAAGGAAAACAGAAAAAAAAAAAACAACTGGTATGCTAAAAAAAAGAAGTTATTGTCTTTATAATAAAAAATATATTTAGTAATTAGTTTTGAACACATGTACAAATATATAAATTGCTTAGTAACTTACCTTACTACTTACAGTATCGGACAAAACATGGTGGACAAATTCAAGTTGTATGGTATATTTATTCGGTCATCAATAATTGTTATTTACAAACTTATCGAAATCACGCGTAGTAAAACAGTTCATGGTAAGAATTTATCTAAAGTGCATATTCTAATTATTGACGGAGAGAGACAAGGACCCCTCTTTTCTGACAACATTTGCGGTTATAGCTGCGCCAGACAAACTGTACTATTAAAGTCTACATTTAAAAAAATTGAGTGATAGTGCGTTTACTGTGATAGTTAATAAGGAATTTCAGTTTTTAATTACTCGATTAGTGAAAAAACTACGTTTTTCATAATGTTTGACGTTTTCTTTTTTTTTTCGTCGGGTAGTTAAAAGGCTCCTTATTCTTAAACTATATTTAAATCTTCGAATTTAAAACAAAAGTTGATCAAAAACTAAAAAAAGTAATAAATCAGTTGTACATAATAGTTTTAAACAGTTTATTATGTTGTTAAGCTATTATTATTATTATGTTAAAAATTTTAAAACGTTTGAAGCTTACTAGGAATCATAAAAAAGACTTGTAACACATTTTTCAAACAACATTTTTCTCAACAAACTACATTTTTCTCAATAAACTATATTTTCCTCAATAAACTTCAACAAACTTCGGACAAAACAAGGTGGACATTCAAAAAATTGACTAAAAATTCAAAAAAAAATAATCAAAAATTGACTTTGATTTACTGCTTTTATTCTTCTAGGCATAGACTCAATTAATGAGTCAACATTTCTCATATCAATCTAATGTCAGGCCTTCTCGATTTATTCAAATAGTTCATCACTAGACTTTACATTTACAAGCTCAATCTTATTGTTATATTATTATTTTTCTTTGATTCAAGTCAGGGCTTTTAAAAGGCTATTCCATTAAGGTGATATTATTTTCCTTGAACCATATTTTTACGAATTTTGAGGTATGTTTGGGGTCATTGTCCTGTTGAAAAATACATTTTAGGGGCATCCCCCTTTCAGCATGGGGTAACATAACATCTTTCATGGTATCTTTGTACACAAATAATCCATAATTTCATTAATTTTGTGAATAGGACCTGTTCCTATTGCCGAGAAACATCCTTAAACCATGGCCGTTTCATGCTTAACATTCTTCTTGGTATATTTAGTATATTAGAACTTGTGTTCTTTGATCTCCAGAGTTGCTTTCAAACAATTTTTTTTTTAAAGAAATTTCAAGATAGTCTTTTTTTTTTTTTTTTTAAATTGACAATTGTGCACCGTAAGGACTTTTTTGGGCACCTAAGTAAAATAAAAAAATAAGATGTTTTCGTTAATAAAAATTCCCAAAAATCTTACCGGCATCAATTTTGTCCGCCAGGTGTTAACAGTTGGTGTATGTTTAAAAAACACAATATTTTAAAAGATTAATATTTGTCTTTAAATATAATTATACATAATTAAATATAATTATACATAATTATTATTTAAATATAACAATACATAAATATTGTCGTTACAATAACGGCATTTAATAAATATTGGTAGAAGGTATTTTAATAATTTTGGTGAATGTTTTAACCTGTTAACTATGAATATTTGGTTAAAATTTTTTTGTAAAATAGTTCATAAGTTACTCTGTTTAGAAGATGAACAAAAAAAATATAATAATAAGTCTAATGAAAGATTTGGGTTTTTTTCTATAGGACATTAAAGGAAACTAAAAAAATATTAAAATTGCTAATTTAATTGCATCTCAGAAAAATGTGTTATTTCAAGAAATATATTTCAAATTAATATCGGATGGACGGTTAAAAGAAAAAGATACCAGCTGCAGTACCCGTTTGAAGAGAGCCAGTAAATCTGAATGACTGTTACTTTTGCATTGTTGATATTTGTCGTGAAAAGAAAGTTTAGGAAAAGAATTTTGTTGTTAAAAGAAAACTAAGGAAAAGAAGTTTTTATATCCTAAAATATCACCTTCAATTGTACCGGTACCGTAAAATAAACATATATTGTTTTGCATCAACTACAAATCAAGTTAACATATAAAAATGTTGATTATATGGAAGAGCAAGAAGATGGAACATGACAACTTGGTGAACTTAGCTCTCCAAACGAACAGGAAAATGATAATTTAGAGATCTAAACCCTATAAAAGCTAATGCAGAACTGCATTAACATAACGCTTTCCTATACAAAACTCATGAAGTTGACAAGTTAAATTTATCGATTTCGGTTGTTGTTTTTAATATGTAGAACAGATGAAATTATTGTTATAAAATTTTTTTTTAAAATAGTAAAAAATGTATAAAATTATTTTCTCCCTATTCTATGTGATGCATCCCAACGGGCAATTGTTAGGTCTTTCAAACGTCTTTTAAATGTTTAGAAGACGTTTAAAAGACATCTAAAATACATTTAGAACGTAACTTTTTAAAAAAAAAATGCCCGCTGGGAAGACTTTGCAAAAAAAGATGAAATTAATGATAATTAAATTAAATAAAATTAATGATAATTAAATTAAAAGATAAAATGATGCACAGATATTGTTCTATAGCTATAAGTATAATATCTGTGCACCAAACATTAATTTTATCGTCAGTTTCGCAATGTTTATTTTAAGCAAACTTTTAATTCATTATAATTAAAAGTTTGGTTAAAATAAAAAGTTCACTTAAAAAGACGCAGGAAATATCCATACAGGTTATAAAATGGGCAGTTTTCTATAGTGAAGAACAACCATAGTAAAGTATGAACTACCTTTCTACAGTGAAAAACTCCATAAAAGAATTGTGAATGTTGCAGTCAAAAAAATTGATATTTTGTTTATCAAAGATTTTGTTTAAGTTGAATTTTGATTCACTGTTGAGCTTAAAAAACAAAAAAAAAAAAATTGTCTTTAATTGTCATCCCGAAGTGGAATTATCCCAAAGCAAAAGTTAGCTATAAAAATTAAAAACAAAAGAAAATTTATAAAAGTTTCGTATACTCAATGCAACTAAGGCATAGACGAAACTTGTAAAAAAAAAAAGCTGATAATTTTAAACAAATCCGATTAATTGTTAGTGGCCAACTGAACAACTTTTTATTTATCGGTATTTAATTTATGCAAACAAAGAATTCGTAAATAATGGCAAAATATTATAAACAACCGAAGCGTCTGTTAAAACAGTTTTGCAAGAGATATACCCATATAATAATAAAGATATTTTGAAGTGTTTTTTTGACATAATTTATGAATCTAATTACAAATTAACGCATTTGTGTTGGTATATTTTTTAAAAAATATACTCTTTTCAAAGCATTTGTAATGAATTATGTAATTTATATTTCATTAAGCGCTGTGTCAACAACAAAAAGTATTTATCTCAATACATTAATGAAGCCATAATAGCTATTTATATCGACTAAGTGTTCAAAGATATAATTGTTTTTATAACAATATGTTAAAAGCAGTGGTGCCAATTCAATTTTTTTGAACTTCGAGATAGCTAGCTTCCAGACATGGAAGCTCCAAACATTTATATGAAAATATATATATTTATTAGCAAACTCTAAACATTTATGTTTATACTTATGTCAAATAAAGATGCTTTTCAAAATATTGCGATGTTGGAGCCTGGGAACAAAAAAGCCTGAATTTTTTGCCCCCTCCCTGCCCCAATCGTGTGAGCAACAAGTTGATGAAGTATTTTTTGGACTATTTTCAACTAGACTTATATTCATCGAAAAATTTTAAATTTCATAGTAAAATATTTTAGCGTTCAAAAATTATAACCATATAAAGTTTAATCCTCTCTCAATTTGAGGGGGTTGCAAATTTTATATTTTGAACGCTGAGAGATAACACTATGAAACTTAAAATTTATCGATTAATATAAGTCTAGTTGAAAATAGCACAAAAGTACTTCACCAACTTATTGTTTTCACGTTTGGGGCAGGGAGGGGGGCCAAAAGGGGGCTTTTTTGTTGCCAGGCTCCAATCATCGTAATTTTTTGCAAAGCATCCTTATTTGACATAAGTATAAACATATAAATGTTTTGGAGTTTGCTCCATGCCTGGAAGTTAGCTATCTCAAAGACCAAAAAATTGAATTGGCGCCACTGGTTAAAAGTTTTTCTTAGGTTTCTATTAAATTATTGTAATAAAAACAAAAGAAACCAAATGCCAATTAAAGTTTACTAATGATATAAAAAGGAAACGAGTATGAAAACTTGTTTATAAAGTTAAAATTTGGTTATAATTTTCCCAAATAATGTCTGATTATAAATGTCAAGTTACATTCATAGAAAACAAACACTTTTACGTGCTTTTATGAAAAACTCAAATCCATAGACTTATCTACAGCCAAGCCTCAAGGTACTTCATATTGAAAACTATTTCTTTTCTAAATAAAACTACGCTTGACGATTTGATATAGTATTACTTTTACCAGATTATAATAGCGGTTAAAATAATCCTTCCATACATACCAAATATGTCATACTTTTTGATGAAAAAACTTATACATATTGTAATTGAAAAAGCTTATATCTTTGTTCGAAAAAACGTGTACCATGCCTTAGTAGCATTGAGTAAAGTTTCAGTTTTTAACTTTAAAGTTTCAATTTAAAATCTTTAACCTAAATTTTTTTAAATTATTAACTAAATTAAAAAATTTATTATTAACTAAATTAAAAAATTTAGCGCAAAAATTGCGAGTTAATTTAGATTTATTTTGCAAGTTATTAAAATTGCGAATTAACTTAATTTGCTTTTTTATTAAAAGCAATTAAAAAAAGTATTTTAATTTTAGACCAATCATTACCAAACAACAGATTACGTTTTGCATGAAACTAAAATACGTTTCAAACGATACGAACTAAGCACGTTTTGCATGACAGGACCGACCAGCATCAAACGAAACTTTCTTGTTTATCAAACCATATTTCGTAATCACATTTCATAATCATTTGGCGGTAAACTCATGCCGATGCTCTGTAAAATATTAGACACAGGACCTGATAGTCCCTCTTGGCTAGAAAACGACTCCAGAAAATTCTTTACAAGGTTGATATCTATATTCATGATTTCTTCATTCAAACCAAACTTTTCTTCCTAAGTAAGAAATAATAATAAAAACAATAAAAAAAACAAATTAAAAAAAACAAATTGAAAACTAAAATAAACTTAAAGTTTAAAGTTTTCTCACTTTGCAATCAAAACTTTTCGGTATATTTGTGGTACGAAGTTCATTATCCATTTGCTGCATCACTTCGACCATTTCTGAATCCAAATCTGAATCAGAGTCTAAATTTTTCAAAATTACATAATTTAAAAAAAAACCACCATAAAAAAAAAACAAAAAAAAAACAAGAGCAAAAATAACCATTTTCTTCATCGTCATCCGACATATCTTGCTTATTAGTATCGCTCGAAGAATCTAAAGATATTCAAATGTTTACAACTGAGGCATATATTAAATAGTATACACACACAAACAAAACAAAAAAAAATTAAAAGGCCTCCTTAAAAAGCCTTTCAAGTGGAAAAAATCAATTACAAAGTTGTTAAATCAATTACAAAGTTGATAAATCAATTATAATTATCTCGCTGAAAATAAAAACTTCTGAGACTCATGCTTGTTTACTTTTTTTTCCGTTAAATTTATTTAAAATGGAATCTTCCTCCTAATTTATTATTAAAAAAATTCCAAATTTCCAAAACGAGAATCATAAAAAAAAAACCCTAAATAAAACTATTTAGGCGAGAGCGGTGAACAAATAAAAAATGAACGAGCGAATAAATAAAATATTAATTTAACAATAATTACCAAGAAGATTTTTAATTGTTTTCATAAATATGTCAGGTTCAAAATGAATCGGATCAAGAACCTTGTCCTTATCGTTTTGTTTCAAATCACTATTTAGAGGTTCGGCTCCTTTGTAATCATTATTTAGAGGTTCAGCTCCTTCGTAACTAGAAACTTGTTCAACAAAAGATTTCATATTTGTGACCAATGTGTTGAGATTTTCTGTGTGTTTCTATAAAAAATAACTTTCCTATATGTGTGTGTGTGTGTGTGTGTGTGTGTGAACAGATTATTTTTAAAAAAGTTGTTTTTTGGGACACCCTAATATATATATATATATATATTATATATATATATATATATATATATATATATATATATATATATATATATATATATATATATATATATATATATATATATATATATTAGGGTGTCCCAAAAAACAACTTTTTTAAAAATAATCTGTTCTCACCCCCTAAATGTGTTCTATTTAATACAAAAACACAAAGTTTAAATTTTTTTTCAATAAAAAATAATTTAAAGGGTCCCTCAAGACCCTCGAATATTTAATGGGTCCCTAATATTTTCAAAAAAAAAGTTTTTAAAAATTATGTCAACCTAGTACTCAAATGAACCGAAATTATATAAAAATTTCAAAAATAATGTTCATTTCGGAAAAAAACGATACGTAACGATATTTCCTCTAAAATATACAATATTTGCCAAAACAAAAAACAATTTTCTGTAAAAAAATCGCCGATATCGTTAAAAAAAAAAAGTATCGTTTAAGTACAAGAAAATATTTTGTTTTTACACTCATTTAACTTCCTGAATTTTAAATATGCGACTTCCTTTAAATATGCGACTTGGCATATTAGTCACGAGATTTTGGATAGTTTCTATAGATATTTTATTCCAAGTTCCTCTGATACGAATTTTCAGCTCCAATGTGGATTCAAATTGCTTGCTATTTTCATAAACCTTTCTACAAAGTATTCGACATAGATTTTTAATTGGGATTAGATTTGGACTGCATGCGGGACATTCAAATACATGAATATTTTTTTCTCTAAACCAAGTATTTGAAAGATTTGAATTATGGATAGCAGCATTGTTATGTTGAAAAGTCAAATTTTGAACCATCAGTTCTTCAACATGTTCAAGCAAACTAATTTCTAATAAGTCAATGTAGTCCTATGAACTCGTTTTTGTTAAAATCAATGCCAGTGAAAGTTTACAAGCAAAGGAAAAAGTCCCTTAAACCACAACAGTTCTAACTCCAAACCACTTAGACCACAACAGTTCACCTTCCACCCCTTAAACCACAACAGTTCCACCTCCGAAGTTGAGACTTAGCTGAGCTTCTTCCTCTTTTCGAAGTTTGTGCCAGTAATATTGATAGCCATCAAGACCATCTATATTGAACTTTTTTTCATCACTAAAGAGAACTTGATACCATTTTTCCTGCAAAGACATGTGTTCTTTTTCAAATTGTAATCTAATTTTCCAAACTGTGTTTGGACCTTCATGTAAGATGTCTCATACGTTGAACAGTCACATCTAAATGTAAATCAGTATGAATTCGAGATGCAGTCATGTGCTGAGCAGCAGCACAACATACAACAGCTCGTTTAGTACAATTATCAATTTTATATTTACCACTACTTTCGTTATAATCTCCACAATTAACGCCCATCTTGAAGTAATTGTTAACTACTTTTAAAGATCTTTTAATTTTCATTTCAACTTCCCGATTAGATAAGCCTGTATCAATGTATACTTTGATTACAGCTATTTCTTCATTTGTTAAATTCTTACCACATCCTATTTCAAATTCAGGTATAAAAACCAAATGTTAAAAACTTTCTGAGCACTGATTTCAGTCTTTGTTTAACTTACAAATAACAATAAAAAAATAAGTCACAAAAAAATGATCAAAAAATACAAGTAAATTGAAAATAATTTTTTTGTTGAGGCCAATTCTATTTGTTACCGCAAATATCAAGTATTTTATGGTTTTATCAAATGTACCACAATTTAAATAACTATATTACAATCCAAAAGGTTGTTGTTTGTAACAAAAATTATATATGAGTGGATACCAAATATGCACCGCATAAATTTGCTAACAGATTTACAAAATATTGGATTAGAACATGGTGAGGCTAATTCTATTTTCTCTAATATATGTATATATATATATATATATATATACATATATATATATATACATATATATATATATATATATATATATATATATATATATATATATATATATATATATATATATATATATATATATATATATATATATATATATACATATATATATATGTATATATATATATATATATATATATATATATATATATATATATATATATATATATATGTAAACGTATATATATATGTATATATATATAAATAAATATATATATATATATATATATATATATATATATATATATATATATATATATATATATATATATATATATATATATATATATATATATATATATATATATATATATATATATATATATATATATACATACATATATAAATAAAGTAGTAGTCAAAATTATAGCACAAATTCTTAATTGTCATGTAAAGTTTTTGTAATGCATTATTTTTAAGAATATCTTATCTATGTTTTTTTCTAGATTGGTTCGAACATACAATTGAATAACCACAAAATAGCTCTGATCTCAACTTTTGAAAATTGAAAATCTATCGATGGAATTAAAACATAAAGTGTTAGAACAAAAACTGTCTAAAAAAAACTATATATATATATATATATATATATATATATATATATATATATATATATATATATATATATATATATATATATATAATATATATAAAACTATATATATATATATACATATATATACACACATATATATATATATATATATATATATATATATATATATATATATATATATATATATATATATATATATATATATATATATATATATATATATACATACATACATATATAAATAAAGTACTGGTCTAAAAAAAACTATATATATATATATATATATATATATATATATATATATACATATATATACACATATATATATATATATATATATATATATATATATATATATATACATACATACATATATAAATAAAGTACTGGTCAATCATACATATATAAATAAAGTACTGGTCTAAAAAAAACTATATATATATATATATATATATATATATATATATATATATATATATATATATATATATATATACATATATATACACATATATATATATATATATATATATATATATATATATATATATATATATATATATATATATATATATATATATATATATACATACATACATATATAAATAAAGTACTGGTCAAAATTATAGCACAAATTCTTAATTGTCATGTAAAGTTTTTGTATGTATTAATCATATTGTTGAGAGGTACTGTATTTTTGAAATGCGTTTAAATAAGTCATTTAAAATGTACAGATAAAATTAAAAATTTTGTTAACTATTCATCTAAGAAATAAACAATTTTACAAACATATACAACAATGTTGGTCAAACTTATAGCACGCTTACATTCATACATAATTGTGACTGTTTATGATTAAATGCATTGATGCATTTTTGTGTATGATATTTTTTTTTATCTACTAGTGTCATAGTTATTTATTTAAAATAGCAAATCTTATAACTTTTCAATGTTTTTTCAGTAATTTTAAAACATAATTTATGCAATGGGTCGCAAAGCAGTGAGCTCTGAGTGGCAACAACTTATAAAAAAATAACTTTAACAACAATTTTATATTGCTGGTATTGCAAAACATGCTAAAACTTTCAGAAAATTTGTCCAAAATAATGCTGATAAAATTAAATTGAATTTACCAATGAAAAATCCACCAGGTCAAAAACGTTGTAGATGCACTAATTCTACAAAAGAGCTAAAAAAATCGTACTGATTCAAGTAGGAAAATTTCTATGGAGTTGCTATGGAGTTGAATGCAAAAGAAAAAACTATTAGTGCAAGAACAGTTCGTCGTCGTTAGTTAGAAAAAAAAGTTACATAAGAAATGACATTGTTATCGAAATAAGGCTCAGAAAAAGAAGAGACTCATTTGGTTTAAAAACTTATGTTGACTGAACTTAAAATCATTAGCATCATGTAATATTTAGTGACAAATCACATATTGAAGTCATTAATAGAAAGAACCCTAAGTTTGTACATCATCTTCATAATGAAAAATTTACCATTTAATTTTACAAGACACAAAGCGTTGGTTGAACTATTTCTGTATGGGGATATTTTTCTGCAAATGGAGTAGGTTTATTGAAGTTTTACGAATGTTGCTTGAACGCTTCTTGTTATTTAGAAGTTATTGCTGAATTACCTGACTATATGAACACTCTTTTTGATTCTGAAACTGAAGATTGTTATTTTATGCAAGACAATGCACTGTGTCACAAAGCAAAAAAAAAACTTTGAAATGGTTTGCAATGAAGAATATTTGGCTCCTAGAATGGCCAGCCACTTCACCAGATGCAATTCCAATCGAAAATTTTTGGTCAATTATTGACTAAAATTTAAAAATTGCAACATAAGCAACACAAAAAACTTAAAAGATGCAATTCAAGACATTTGGGGCAAGACTTCAATTGATCTTTACATTAAATTTATGCGGTAGTGGTGTAGTGGTAGAGCGCTCGCTTCATAAACGAGTGGTTCCGAGTTCGATCCCCACCACATCCCTGGTAGTACCGCGCTCAACTCGTTTCTCCGCGCAGCGGCCTTGCTCGTCAAGGTTCGCGTTTCGGAGTTATAGAGTTGTGAGAGGGTTATAACCACAAATAAGTAGCCTCCTCGTCTGTAGTGGCCTTCTCGGCCTTGAGGAGGTGAATTAAAATAAAAAAAAATAAAAAAAATTGATAAATTCTGTTCCAGATCAAATTTCTAGAATTTTTAGAGCTAAAGGATCCAACATTTCACCATATTAAATCAAATTATGTTTTTTTTTAATCTAAAATTAGTACTATGTGCTATAATTTTAAACAGCTTATTTTTTTGTATTTTTCCTAAGTAAACTTTAAAACATGTTAATTTTAAATTCATTTTAAAATTTCATTAATTTTTGTAAAAAGTATAACTATTTATTCAACCCTCCATTCAATTTTTATTTTATATACATACATACATACATACATTTATATATATATATATATATATATATATATATATATATATATATATATATATATATATATATATATATATATATATATAATATATATATATATATATATATATACACACATATATATTTACATATATACATACAAAAGTATTACTTTGGTATGTATGAATATATATATATATATATATATATATATATATATATATATATATATATATATATATATATATATATATATATATATATGCATGTATGTATATATGTATATACACATACATACATACATATATAGTAAAAATTCTTAATAACAATACTACCAGGGACGTGGTGGGGTTATCTGTCGCTATCACTTACTAAGTGGGTGCTCCATCACTGTAGTACTACTAGATAAACTAGGCAATAGCTGCTGCCTAATTTAGAAGATAGTACTAAACTAAGTAAGGTAGGTAGCACTTGCTGATTAAATTAACGGCATAAAGTAAAGAATTCCGGAATTTTAATGAGCATTTTTATCATAATATTTCTAAAAAAGACATACAAAAAAATCAATAAAAATAAAAAAAATAAATAGCAGTCCGTTAAATAACTTCTTGGTAAAAAAGTTAACAAACATTGGTTGTACTTATTTCTATTTTTGGAATTAAAACAATTTAACTTATGTTATTTAATTTTAATATTATTATATAGATAAATCAACTAATAAATAATCTTATATAAATAAATAATAATGTATAAATATATATTAACAAATAATAAATAATCATATATAAATATAAATATATTAAACAATAAACTTAAATAATAAAAATAAACAACTTAAAAGAATTTTATTTAATAAATAAATAAAAATGACATTTAATGTCTAAAATGATGTTTATCTAAATAAAAAATATAAAATCTAAATAAAAAAGTATAAAAATTGTCATAACGTAATTTAAATTTACACACATTATACAATACATAATTTACAAACACAATATAGAAAAAAAAGATTTAACTATTTGTACGAACTATGAACACGCATACCATAACAATACACAATCTTGAAAAAGAAAAACTCAGAAAAACAATACAAAAATATACTTTAGTGTCTGGGTGATTTTTCCCCCACATGTTAAGCATCATGTTATCTAATTCTTCTTCAGTTAATGTCATCCAAGAATCATCTAAAACATTATATTAATTGGTAATGTTTATTATAATTAATCAATTACATGAACTTAGTATGAGTATTATAAATATTTTTTTTGTTAAAATATTTGAATGACATACTATATATGGTAAAGCGGGGTAATAAGCTCAGAGGGCAATAGGATCAATTTTAGAATAGTCTAAATTAAATTACTTAATACAGTTATGTAAAAAGGAAATTATTTATTTTTACATGGTAGAGGTTTACTTACTAAATTACGAAGTAGTTTAAAACATTTTGAGGGTTTACAACTATTCTATAACCATTATTAATTTGAATATTTTTTACTGCAGTGTTTATTTTTGTTTGAAGTTTATGAAAAACTTTGCCTTTTAGTTAAAAAATCAATGAGCCGTCCAATAAAGGTTTACACATTTTAAACATATACCTTTAAAATAAGCTTACACAAAAAACATTCTGTATTAATAGCATAAGTTAGACTTATTTGAGATACTTGTATCTAATATTTTTATTTTTTGTATAACTAGAATATAAAACTTTTTTTTTTAAATAAGTTGCTATTAATGCCCTAGCTGACTAGTAAAAAATGTCAAAAGTTTCTAAAGAATTTAAATCAGTCATAAATTTTATATTATCTATATTGAAAATTATAGCTAAATTAATAAACAGCTTTTTTTTGTTTAAATATAATTTTTTATGTATTTTTAAGAATATCTTATCTATGTTTTTTTCTAGATTGGTTCGAACATACAATTGAATGACCACAAAATAGCTCTGATCTCAACTTTTGAAAATTGAAAATCTATTGATGGAATTAAAACATAAAGTGTCAGAACAAAAACTGTCAAGTGCAACAAAGTTGGCTAGAGTGATAAAAGAAGTCTGGGTTAGGGAAATCTTGAAGGACTATTGCCAAAGTCTAATAGACAATATGCTTAGGTGCATGGAGGTGGAGATCAGGATTAAAAGAACACATACACAGTATTGAATTTTGGACAATCTACTAATCATAAATAGTAAAATTGGGTCACAGTGACATATTTTTCATGTATATGATGATTTTATCTAGCATAAAATATGTTTAAATGTAATATTGGCATTTTCATGAAATTTTAATGATAATTAAAATGAAACTTTGAGATTAAAATTAAAAATATGATAATTAAAAATGCATTAATTCAAATAAATCGTGATTGAACATTAGAAAAATCTTATATTTTTGTGATTATAAAATACAATCTTATTTATGACTAGTGAATAATTAAAAAAGAAAGTAAAGAAAGATTTTTTTATTACCAATACTAATTTTTATTTTGAAAAAATTAAAACAACAAAATCCTAAACATCTACATATTCATAAATACAGTTTTTCATAAGAACATATTTTTTAGATGTACTAATGTAAAATTAAAAACTAATAATTTGTTTTAATAATTAAATTAGATATTTTTGAAAAATGACAATCTTTTATGGAAAGACCTTATTTAGGTTTGTTTCTGGATTGATTATGGATAATTTGAAAAAAGACTCAAACTGGTAGCAAACTTTTAATTGATAAGTCTGTGGGGGTGGGGAGCTTCAAAATAAAAGTGTACATACTTTATGAATAACCCATTACTGTTTTAAAAAATTACTCATATCTATAACACACACACACACACACACACACACACAGATATATGTGTGTGTGTTTTTTTATGTATTTTGTGCTCTGCATTTTTTAAAATTTTATTTTTGATCTAAATATGTATGACTGAGGGTTTGGCCAAATATCATCTAGATATGAAGAACTTTTAAATGGAAAAAAAACCCTTTGTTTTTTGCTTCAGTAAAAACATCGACTGACTAAATATAGAGAACATGCAAAGAGTGCTGCGTTTAGAGTGCTAAGGGTTTAGGTTGGTTCATTATTCTTTGTTTTTTACTTTTTTTCTGAAAAATTGAAGTGTGCATTTTAAGAATTAAAGCACGGAAATATATTAGAAAAATGTGTCCTTAAATACATCCTATCCTATTCTGTCTTTCCTGATTTTTTTTTCAAATTAATCATTAGGTGCTCCAAGAAGAGCACTATCACATCTCAAAGCACTGCGGAAGAAAATTTACCCAGGAAATTCACACCTCCTTCTTTACCAATGTAACTTACTGGTCTAGAGCTGGTATCAAACCTTAAACCTCTTGGTTCTGAATCAGAATTCTAATTACTGCACCACGACTGCTAACAAAGACTTTAATAGTCACATATTATAATAGTCACATATTTAATAGTTACATATTTGAGCTGAAAATGAAATGGCCAATTTCATTATCAGTCAGATATTATGATTTTAACAAAACCATCATAAATACATCTTACATAGAATTCTATCAAAAGATATGAACTCTCACTTCAATCATTAGCAAAAGCCAGAGTGAAACAGTAAGACAATGGATATTGCTCTTGACATACCAAAAGTCTGTCATTTTGGTCCTCATAATCTCTCTTTATATGGTATATCCAAATAAAGTTTTAGAAGTCATATTTTTTCTCTTCATCTTTTAGAGTTCTACAAAAATTTTTTACTACAAAATTTAATCATTAATACTGTATTGTTGATCTACAATTTTTCTAATCTTACCCCTAGCATAGCTTTATTTGCTGATGATGGATATGCATGATTAAAAAACTAGTACTTCTTGATCACATAGAACAAAAACAAACATTAATTAAATATGAACACAACTGTTAATGCTTAGGGATCACAATGATTGGTGAATTTTAATTCATTTTTTATTTGACCCACCATTGTTTGTAATGATAGTTGCATTTTCCTGATTTACATAATTTCATTTTCATTAGTTTATTTCTCATTAACTCATTTTCTAAGTCAGTGTAAAACAATTTTGTTGATTTTTTTATTTTTTTATTAACAAGTCAGAATTATAATTATTATTAACTCAAGATCATAAAATTACTTGCCATCTTCTAATCCAACATTTTCACAAGCAGGTTTGATATCACTAATATGTTGTCCACTTTCATGTATCAAATCTTGAATAAGTAGACCAATAGCATCACTTCTAAAAATATAGTATAACATATAATAGAGTGTATAATGTGTTTGTAATATTAACTAAATATGTATGTATTTTTTGATTGCTGGCTTATCCCTATATAACAACACTCCCTTGCATGTTCTATATGGATAATCAATGTATGTACTGTAATCTCCGAAGCTACTTCTTGCAGTCTTAAGAACTTAAGCACCCTCTTAAAGAGGGTGCTTAAGTTTTTAAGACAAAATGATCAAGTTTATGGAAAAAGTTTACAACAGATCCCACATAATGTAGGTGATATTCCACAATACCAAAATGTATCAGGGGTTATGGTTTTTGGTACAATCTACAAAAAAGAAAAACTCCAATTAAAACTTATTGATAGAGAAGTCAAAATCAACCAGCAGCTCTATTTAAACAAGATTTTAATAAAATATAGTTATAGTTTCCAACAAAATTCAGCCGTCAAAACTCATTGGATTCCTTTGTATAGAACTTTTTAAATTGCATTTCACATTTTTTTGTTTAAAAAACTAAAAAATGTGAAATGCAATTGTTTAAATGATTTCAAGGTTTTACTAATCAAAATTAGGGATAAAATTTCTAACAATTTCAAAATTTCTGAGTTCATGTGTATCATAGAAAAAAGAAAAAGATTCAAATAACTTTTTGTATTTAATATTAATGCAACTTTCAAAAAAAAAACTGTTTTTTATAAATCAAAACAGTGCTCTAGTTCTGCACGAAACTATAAAACATTTGTAAATCTCCACCCTGTAATTAAAACCGCTCAATGTGCACAGTTTGTTACTTAAAAAAAAGTCCTCAAAACTTATGTTTAAATATTTATCAGATTGAAGTTCTTATTCAACTTATTGTTTCTATTATAAATAGAAACAATAAGTTTATAAATATAATATAATAAATTTTTATTATATTATATTATAAATATAATATAATAAAAATTTATAAATATAATATAATCTGATTTATGTATACAAACAAATAAATTGCAAAATGTATGCAGATGACATGAAAATGCTCAGTGTACTTAACACTTCTGAAACCAAACTTTGTCTGCAAGCTGACATTGTTAATATTGTCAATTGTGTTTAAATACGACTTATGCAACTTAACATCAAAAAATGCCAACGTATGCACATCAACCAGACCAAATCTGTTCTTTATATCTATTTCATTAATGAAAATGAATCAAACAGCATAATCAAAAGAATCCAGCTCGAATCAACAACATTAGAAAAAGATTTTAGGTGTTTAACTATCTACTGACCTAAAGGAAAAGAACTCAGTACTGCTACTTTAGCAAATAAAATTTTAGTTGTTATAGCTTTGTTAGCCGAGAAGTTAAAATCTTGAAAAACCTCTACACAACATCTGTCTCCATTTAGAATAGCCTATCACTGCCTGGTCCTCTCACTTGGTTATTGCAAAATTTATAGTAACTGCCTGTTAAATTCAACTTTTTTAACAATCAAGTTGCAAATAAATGAAATTCTCTGCAAGAGGTGGTTACCAATGCCTCTAATATCAACAATTTCAATCATAAATTAGATCAGCAAACTGTTTAGTTACCACATTTTTTGTGGTTGCTCTCTGTAGCTATACGAGCTAGCTTCCCAGATAATAATGAGCTTACATTTCAATTCTGTTATGTATAACTTAAATTTGATAATAACACAAATAATAAAAAAAAATCATTACTTATAACTATTAGCAACATGATCTTGAAAATGCAATTTTGCTTTGTTCATCAAGTCTTTGTACTTAACTGATCCTTCTAACTCATTCTAAATAGGTTTCACACATTACAAATGTTTTGCAAATTTTTAAAGAAAGTTTATAATAAAATAGTATCCATAGTAATCTATAGTAAAAAGTAATAATTAAAAAAAAAACTTTTATTTTGTTAATTTTAAACTTTCTTATTTTTATGTTTAAAATCATCTAACTTTAATAATTGTAATCTCACAGCACAGTCTTTTAACAGTAGATTTTTCATAGTAATTGTATTTTGAAAAAAAAATTCCATTCCTACCTGGAACTATGTATAATCAAATAAAATAAATAAAACAAATGTTTTTTGTATATTAAGTTAACTTACCTTAAAGTAATTACTGTTGTTTAGGTTAAGCAAGTATTGTTCCCACATTTTTCCTGAAGGTTCCGACAACTAATAAAATGGTCAACTATTTAAAAATGGTAAATATAAGTAAAAAACAAAAACAAAAAATAAAATTATAATTATATTTTATAATATTTTAAAATTATCAATATATATTTTTATTATTACGTATCAATATATATATATATATATAAATATTGGCAGGGGCTATTCTAGACTGTTTTTGACAGCGCACACCATATTTATGCGCCAATTTGGGCGCTGCCCAAATTTAGAAATTTAGACCCTTTTTAAATGGCAAATATTATTTTTTTAGGCAAGAAAATGCCTACATATGGCAAATTTCCTAATAGAAAAGCTCTGGCACAGGGGAACCGCCGCCCAAATTATTTTGCTAGAATAGCCTCTGATTGTATATATCAAACAATTGTAAAAATAAAAAATATTGCATTACATACACTTGGGGCCTTATTTGTATTATCTTTTGAATCAGCTGCATTTAAACGAGATAACAAAATTTGAAATCCACATGTCTAAAATTTTAAAAAATTATAATAATATCTAATTTTTAGCATTAAAACAATATACATTATAAAACCTGTAAGTCTTAAATAAATCATTTATTTTGAAAAACCTGTCAGGTGACATTTTTTTCAAAAATTTTTTTTCAAAAAAAAAAGGTCAACCTTAGTCACGCTGTCTTAGGCAGAAACGTGTCAACTAATAAACTTTTTAATGGGTTGTACTTTGTCCTGAAATTTCAGTTTATTACAGAAATCTGTCAAGTGAACCACATGGTGGCTTTTTGCAGTAAATTTTGTATTTTGTGTAAACAATATGTAAACAAAAAAAGCTAAAATGTATATTTACCACAAAGGCGAGGCCAATAAATCTTAAGAGGAAGTTTGCTTTATAATACTAGATTGTTTGAAAACATTCTTTTAAGTAATAGTCCTTTAGAACAAAAAAAAATCATTATATGGTAAGATTCTTGATGAACCTTTGTGATAGAGGAATATTCAAAACTGTTTGTCACTGCTTTCCAGTCAGGGTTCACTCATTTATACACTATGATTGAAATTTTAGTTGCATCAACTGTGTTGCGCAAAGAGTTGACAGAGCTTACACATCAAACTAGTATGCTGAAAAGATTCTTAAATCAAATAAATCAGGGTTTACTGTTCACCATTAAAAAAGAAACAATCTACAATTTTAATACTTGGTGGCTGCAGTTTTGCCAGGAGACTGTTGACTCAGGTAAAACTTCTGGGAGGGGAACTCAAAAGAAAGACAGGATTCCTTTTAAAGTATCCACTTATAAAAAGTTTTATTACAACAAAACTGACAGTAGTTACTAAGCACTTTATTGATGGTTTTGTCTCCTTAATGTTTACATTCAAAAAATGTTCTACAGTTCTGGAGCTCTCAACAGTGATCACATGTCCATCTTGAAGGATATAGATCAACAAAAAGAAAGTTAATGACCTGAAGAAACTCTTTAACTTTATGACATGCTATAAATATTTTTATGATGAAACCCTCTGGTGGCTTACAAACCAAGTTGTCTGCAGCATTAATGTAGCGTATGATAAGTAGAATAAATATTCAAGCAATTGGTTAGACCTGTATGCTTTATGTAACAGTATGTTTTATGTTATCTTGTCTGTCTTTGATTATTTCTTTATTTCATGCATCTCATTTAACTAATATTTTAACTTTTTTCTTTGATTTTTAATTAACTTAAACATAGTAGGTAAAATGCTTTTTTATTTACAACCAATAACTGCTTTTCAAAAACAATATTATAAAAAAAAGCTTCTTTTTAAGGTAAAAAGTTTTGTTTTATTGCAGAAACTTATGAAGAACAAAGTTTTAAAAATGTTTCTTTTTTGCTTATAGACAATTTTAAAATAGATTAAAAATTAAATTTAAACAATTAAAAAACAGATTTTTTAAAACTGACCTTAAGCATTATTTCTTTTTGCAATACAATAAAAAACACTTTACTTTTTTTCACTAGCCAAAACCTACACTATTTTAAACATTTTGCAGTTTTTTTGATTTTTCGAAAATTGAAAAAAGGACACTTGACAGGTTTCTAAAATAAACGATTCAATAACTATATAACTACATAAGAGAAACCATTTTTAATTTAAAAAAATGCTTATATATACTTATATTATACTTTTATTGGGCTTTCAAAGGCAAAATACCTGTATATAAGAACTTAGGGTCCATTTAAATATTACAACAATCCAAGGGGATGGAGGGGGCATTGAAAAGTGTCATTAAATATTACATGGGGGAGAGGTAGTTAGCTACAGTGTGGCATGACATGATATTTTATACATAATATTTTCTTTTAAAAGAGAATTCACACAAGTTGTTGGCTCTATTTTGCTACCAGTAAGTCAATTAAATATAATAATTTTATTTAATAAATTGCGCAATTTTGCTCAATTAGAGCAGAGTATCATTTGAGATTTAAAAAGGTGTAATCATCAAGTTGTCTCATTGTCTAGTTGCTCAACATCAATCTGAATATTGAAGAACACGAATCTCCAGGAATCTTAGTGTTCAATGTCTGATTTAGGAACAAGTTTAGTCCTAAAACAGAAATTCATCAATTGTATGTAGGAGGGCAATTTAATGATCATTCTAAAATATTTATTTTTTCCGGTTGGTGCTGGTTGGTGCCCTCTGCAATAGCCACAGCAGAGGGTGCCCCAGTGCTGCGTCAGGACTGGGGGTATGATCCTCTTTTACTGGAAAAGAAAACTGAATAGTTTTTTTTATTCTCTTGTTTTTAATGAGTAGAATGGTTTATAAAAAGTAATTTGTTAAAAGTATGATTAGGAGGGCAGTTAAATGATCATTCTAAAGTATTTGTTTTTTCCATGTTTAAATTATTTCAAGAAACACAAATTTTCTTCTAAATAAAAAGCATCAAAAATTACATAAATAAATCATACTACTCCTATTATAGAAATACAATAACATCTGGTTAAAATAATGCATTAATTAGTAAAAAAGTAATTTTTTTTTCAGAAAAAAATCTGAAAAAAATCCTATGTAACTACATAAAATAAAAATAAATAAATAAAGCTAAAACAATGCTTTAATTTTTTAATTTTTTTTTTTCTTTAACTTTAAACTTTAAATCTTTTTTTATTTTTTATTTAATTTTATTATTTTGTTATCTTTTTTTGTTAATTTGGCTAAAAAAATGCATTATTAGTTAATTCATCTTAAAAGGATCCCAAACTCCCAACACATGTTGTGTTTATATTTATGATAATGTTAAAAATAAGGTTTGAACCAAGTTTTTTTGATTAAAAATAAATAATAAATGCATACAGAAAAAAACTAATGTTGTTGTTTTAGCCAAAGCTCGCCTTCTCCATTTTATTCAATAACTCGGTGTCTTTAAATTATACATCGCAATTTACAGACTTCGGCAATTCCTTTGAAGCGTGTTTAATTCATAAAAGTTTTAGTATTTGACGTCACGGTAGACTTTTAACAAATGAAACTCGGGAAATATTTTTATTTATTTTTATTCAAAATTTTTTTGATTGTTTGTTTAGTTTTTTTTTTCTTTCTATTTTTAACATTTAAAAAGATATTAAAAACCTCAAATATTTTTGCTGGTTCGTTGCTATAAATTGTTATTGTGCCATTTACTTAATGTTTATAAATGATGAATATTTATTATCCTAATCAAGATTCAGATAAAAGTTTTATATTAATTACCCGTATAAAATTAGCATTTTTATTTGGTTAGACAATATTTTGTCTCAATTTGCTTTGCATGAAGTTTGGGAAGTCCAACGAAAAAAACTTAGTGTGTAAAATCATGTCAAAATATATTTAAAACAAATGATTTAAATGACGAGGGTACTAAAGTCTTTTTATAACAAAAATAGGTACAAAATAAATAACTAAATAAAAAGTTCAACATCTTAAACATTTTTTTTTTTTTATATTGCAACTGTAATTATTAAAATATTAACTTTAACTATATTTGCTTATTATTTAGAACGACTGAGCAATAAATAAAAAGCCCCTAAAATTAAGCGATATTGTGTTGTTTTATTCTAAGATCAGAAAAGGCCCTAGGAATGTATTTGTTCTCGTAGTATGTAGAATATGTTAGAGAAAAAAACAAAGTTTTATTGCCTGACATTCAGAACTACCCAAATTTTGCGCGAAAAAGTCTGACGTCACATTGTCTATTGTTTAGCAAAATTTTCATAAGGTGTTTTCACAAATTTACAAAATTTATCTTATTTAACAAAGTGCGAATATATTTAATTAAATTTGTTTTGAAACACATGTGTTGCGTATTTTGTTATATTTACAAAATTATGACTAAAGGTTGCAAAATTGTGTAGCATTATTGTAGTATTATTGTAGCGTTTATTGGAAAACTTGTATTTGTCAATAATTAATATGGTCATGTATATATATATATATATATATATATATATATATATATATATATATATATATATATATATATATATATATATATATATATATATATATATATATATATATATATACAATCAAAACTAAATAATTACAAGACTCGAGCTATTAACATAACTAAGAGTTTCACCTAAAAAAGTGATCATCAGATGTTTATAAACTGTAAGTTTATAAAAATTACTTTAAATATATATATATATATATATATATATATATATATATATATATATATATATATATATATATATATATATATATATATATATATATATATATATATGAATTTTTATCTCATTTATTTATATTATCTATATTATATATTATTTACATTATATATATATATATATATATATATATATATATATATATATATATATATATATATATATATATATATATATATATATACATATGAATTTTTATCTCATTTATTTATATTATCTATATTATATATTATTTACATTATATATATATATATATATTATTTATATTATATATATATATATATATATATATATATATATATATATATATATATATATATATATATATATATATATATATATATATATATATATATATATATATATATATATATATATATGTATATATATATATATATATATATATATATATATATATATATACATATATATATATATATATATATATATATATGTATATATATATATATATTTATATATATATATATATTTAAATATATGAATTTTAATCTCCTCAACAAAGTTCCAGCTGTCAGAATGAAAATATCCAGCATGTTCGATATGTTTGTAGTAGTGTACAAACAGATTTGAAAAGTTATGCGGATGTTCTGACCCAAACAGAGATTTATTTAATCGATGAAGACATTACCAATTACATTAAACCCACAGATGTTGCCCCTGAAAGTGCAGAACTATATAATATGGGAATTGAGATGACTAGCAATAGTGAAGCATTCATTGACGATGTGAATGAATCTGAAGAAAGTATTTCTGACTCACAAATGTCTTCTCTGGAAAATGACGAAGAAGGCACTGATTATGTTCCATCAGCATTAGACGATGAAAGTTGTATGAGTGACGAAAACAAAGAAAAAAGTTGTGGTATACAATACAATGATCCCACACTTTTTGTTTTTGAGAAAAACTTTTTCGAACTTTTAGGCTACTGTCCAGCATGCGGTGCTCCTGTTGATCGCTCAAATGAAATTTAAGGTAATGGATCGCAGCTACACTTAAAAAAAACTGCTTTAATAATTGTAAAGTTGAATGACAATCTCAACCGACAGTTCGTCATTTTAAAGGGCTCAGAAATATACATTTATCAACATCAATTGCATTTTTAGGAAAACCGTTTTCTAAATTTGAACATTTCGCTTATATAGCAAATATGAAGATATTTTCCGAAACAGTGTATTACAACATTAAAAAAAATTTCATTATGCTTGTAGTTGAAAACAAGTGAAATTCCAGGGTTGGGAAATAATAAAGATGTTACTAAGCAGAAAAGTTGTCAAACTTGTTGGTGATGGCAGATATGACAGTCCTGGTCATAACGCAAAATACTGTACCTATACATTTATAGAACCTGAATTTGCATGTGTAATTGACAGAGTTATAATTTCAGTGACAGAAGTAAAGAGTTTCAACTGCATGGAAAAAGAAGAGCTTATTCGCTTATTGAACGCATTTAAAAATGTGGGAATAAAAATTGACTTCATATCTACTGATCATACCCAAATTGAAAAACTTTTAAAATTTGATCCAAGGTTTAACCATATAAACCGTCCATTTAATCTGTGGCATGTTGTTAAATCAATTTGTAAAAAAATGCTTAAAGCCAGTAAAATCTGTTCTTGAAAAGATTTGCTAAAATGGATTCTATCTGTCGTAAATCATTTTTGGTGGAGTATGAGAACATCAAATAAAAATCTGCAATTAATGTACAAAAAATTTACTTCTGACAAAAAAGTTCATAGGTCGAAAAATTAAAGAAAAAAAATGTTACGAATATCTTTTGATCATGAAAAAAAGTGTTATAAAAAAGGCGATAATCGGTATAAAAAGAAAGTAAAAAACAAGTCATGGCTCCAATACCAACTGAGACTAAAACTGAAGTTATTGAAACAACGAAAAAGTATGGTAGATTTTAAAATTTAAACAGGTATTGAATATTGACTTTTAAAAAATTAACATTTTTTAAAAATTTTTATACGTTTTTATTTCAATGGAAATATTTATGAAAAAATTTTTTTTTTACTTTAATGAAAATATTTATGAACAAAAAAAATATTGTTTTCATAAAAAAAGAACTCACAATAGTCTAATTTCAAAGTAACAGAATATTATATAATATGAACAAACCTATATAGTGACGGAGGGGTACCAAGTTTGCTTTTTGTACCAAGTTGCCTTTTTAATTTGATAACATGAATCTTGTTTTGTGTTTTTTAATTTTAAGTTCGATTTTTTAATTTTTGTGTTTTGAAACAAAACTGAAATTATTATATAATAGATCTATGTACACAAATTTGGTATTTTAAAAGTGGCTTCATTTCAAGTTCTTCAAAAATGCCTCCGTTCTCTATTAAAAATTGCACCCAACATTACCTATATTATGTACACATATATCTATATATATACATATATATACTATATACATATATCTATATATATACATATATATACTTAATACATATATCTATATATATATATATATATATATATATATATATATATATATATATATATATATATATATATATATATATATATATATATATATATACATATATCTATATATATATACATATATATACGATATACATATATCTATATAAATATACATATATCTATATATATACATATATATACTATATATACATATATACTATATACATATATATTATATACTATATACATTTATCTATATATATACATATATATACTATATACACACACACATATTTATATATTTATATATATATATATATATATATATATATACATACATATATTATTTGTGGCTATGAAAATAGCTGTTTTGTTGTTTGTTTAAAGTTTTTTAAAGTTCTTCATTTTCAAATCCTCTAATGTATTTCGATGCCTCTGCTATTTCAGACACTCTTAAAGTGTCTTTGTCATCACCATCAAAATTTGTGTATATTCCATTTTCGTCAGGAAACCTGGATCTTATTGCTGAGAAAACACATGCTGGTAGAATTTTTCGATTAAATCTTCAAGTTTACAATAAGTTAACCACGTAAACTGACGACATAACCACGTAACCACTGACGATACGCAGCATATCTAAATGTTCTTTAAACTTTGAACTTTGAAACAAAAAATAAATTCCTAATAAGATATTTTTTGCAATAAATTTATAAAAAAAGCTAAAGAAACTATATAATAAATTGTAAAGTATGGACAGGGTAAAATAATAAAAATTTATTTTAATATTTTATACTTATTCGGAGTTTCTTCAAATGAATCTGGCATCCATGCACCTTCCCTGTCTTTCGGACTCGCCAGTGATATTTATAATGGATATGGTTCAATACAGCCAGTTGTAAAACTTCTGTGCTCTGTTATGCACTTTTGATCTAAGAAAAAACTTATTTTTATTTACATCACCATTAAGTAAAAAAAAAGGAATCATTTTATAATAACTTTAATCATTATTTTATGATACCTTTGGCAATACTTATTTCTTTTATTTCAACACAACAAAGACATTCTTTTTCAACTGGCATTACAGTATCCACATTTACACCATTGGTTAACAGCAACAATCAAACGATTTATTTTTGACGCATTAGCCACAACAACAATAAAACTTTCATATCTGATACTACTGTCAACTGTATTGTTTGGTGTATTCTTGTACTTTTTTTTCATAACCTTAACAGACTCTAATTGGTATGGAGTTGTCGACATTTTAAAAGTTTTGCTATCAAAAATCAAATGCAAAATAAAATGATATCTTTTTTTTATCCATATCCAATTTAGCAAGTTTAGCAATTTAAACTAAATCAGGGTAACCAAAAAATTTTTAAATAAAAAAATTTAACACCTCATCAAATATCTCTAATTAAAACTGTCAGTTAATGAAAGCAATTGTTTATAACTACTTTTTTTCAACAGAAAAACAAAAAATGTTATAGCGTAAAAATGACCAGAAAATTAGAAAATAGTTCTTATTGTTTAAAGTAAGATTCAGAATATATAATACTGCGCTCTCTTGCGCAAAAACCAAAGACTGTATATATAACGTTCTATATAATGTAAAATACTTGTATGAAAATCATACAAGTATTTGAGTCAGGGCTGTGGAATCGGAGTCGGAGTTGCTGAGTTACTACATTTTTAGCGGAGTCGGAGTCGCTAAACAAAATTGCGACTCCGACTCCTATAGTAAAACTTCTCGGTATTGCACACGCATGTACAAAACATTTAATCAACCTTATGTTCATGCTAAACCTCAAAGAAAATTTCATAAATTTGTCAAAAAAACATTTTTAACATATAGCGTAATATTTTTTAAAGAATTCAAAGAGTTTTTCAAAAGTTTTGCTTTGGAGTTGTAGTTGGAGTCGGAGTTGGAGTGGGACTTGCATTTAAATTTTAACAACTGGAGTCGGAGTTGGACTCAAAAAATTCCAACAACTGGAGTCGAAGTCGTTTTTTTTTTTTTACGACTCCACAACTAAGTGGAACAATGGAAAATGATTAGCTTAACTGATAAAAATTGAAATTATTAACAGAAAAAACAAGAGATGTTAACCCCAAAAATACAGATAAATATTTGAAGCAATACACACAAAGCCATATTCAAAAAGATGGTGACTCTTTAGACATATATAAATACATATGTCATCTGGCTCATGGGTTAGCTGTCATAAAATATACAAAGGAAGAATAAACCAATGAAGGTATTGATTTATTAGAGGCTGATTAAATCTGGTTATTTCAACAAGACAGAGCTTGATGTCATACAGCACATTTAATCATCAATTAATTCCTTGAAATTAATAATGGAAGCCTTGGCCAGCACAATCGCCTAACTTTTACCCATTCAAAAATTGGATGGACTGGATCAACTAACAAAAAAGCAACTAAGAGGTCACAAAATGCTCAAAAAAGAACTGACCAAACTTTGGCTTCAAATACCAATCGATATGATTAAAACCTAATTTCTAATAACTTGTATATGCATATATATATATATATATACATATATATATATATATATATATTATATATATATATATATATATATATATATATATATATATATATATATATATATATACATATATATATATATATGTATATATGTATGTATGTATGTATGTATGTATATATATATATATATATATATATATATATATATATATATATATATATATATATATATATTATGTTAGTGTATTCTACAAACAGAGTGCTCAATGCTCTTAAAGAACAGAGCAATAATAATTTAGTAAAAACACTTATCTAATTTTTGTGCCATCAGTAGGTTTAACAGGAAGCTTCCTGATGGACCTACTGATATATATATATATATATATATATATATATATATATATATATATATATATATATATATATATATATATATATATATATATATATATATATATATATATATAAAACATAGAAACGAGGTAGGCAAGTTTTTGCCAACCTTAAAGACTTTAAGGTTGGTAGTAGGGTCAGCTTTACCGAATGTCAACCTTAATTCTAAGGGTTGCATACATACATACATACATATATGTATTCTGCAAAAAGAATACATTATGATGTATATATGTTAAACTCTTAAAAGAACAGAGTAATAATAAATTAATAAAAAATCCTTTATCGAATTTTTTTCATTTTACACAGTGTTTTATTAATAAAGACTCATCAGAAAGTAATGATCAAGTTTATAAACAATTTTTTATGCATTACTGTTATATCAATAATATTAATTATTTTACTAAATCCTTAAAAAACCTAAAATATATATAATCCAGCAAATTATACTGTTCCTTAACTACCTATTGTTACATCTAATCTATCCAATTGTTACATTTGATGTAATAATGGGTAGTTAAGAAGGAGCAGAAATTTGTGAATTTGTTGGACTATATAACGTCTGTTCACAAAAAATCTGGACTGATTTCAAATGTACACAAATTGTTCTAAATTTCGAATTTTCGATTAGAAATTTTTAAATTAATTCGGTCAACAACAACAGTTTCATTTTGTGGCGAAATTGAGTTTAAATAATAAATTAAAATAAACATGGAGCATCTAAAAGAGAACGATGTTAGAAATGTGATTGGAAATTTTTACAAAACATAAACATGGAAAAAAATTTACAGTGGATCATTTAAAGAAAATGGGAATCGCTAAATCTACAATTTATGACATAATTAAAAGGTCTGAAAATAATTTGCCAATGAAAAGAAAAATCGGTTGTGGCAGAAAACCTTTTAAAATCACACCAGAAAAGATAGAGTCCATGATTGCAAGAGCAGAAGAGAGAATCGGGATTTCGCAAAGAAAATTGGCACTAAAATATAAGATAAGCGTTTTATATGTAAATAGATTATTAAGTATGCTTGGACTGAAGTATACCAAAAGAAAAAATGCACCAAAAACAACAGAAAAGCAAGAAATTAAACAAAAGAAAAACTTATCAAAACTTTCATAAACTTTTTTCAAGCCATCAAATGAGTTTGAAATCATCATGGATGATGAATCTTATTTCTGTTTAAATGGTGCAAATTGTTCACAAAACTCTGGCTACTATACAAAGGATAGTTCTCAAACTGATCCTAACATTAAATTCAACTTCAAAAAAAAGTTTGACGAGAAAGTCCTCTTTGGATTGCAATCAGTCGTTTTGGTCATTCATCGCCTTATTTTGCTGTAAAAAACTGTGCACTGGATGCAAAAACTTATTCTAAAGAATGTATTACAAAAAGACTTCATCCATTTATAAATTCCAAGCATCAAAACATGAAAATTTTATTTTGGCCTGACGGAGCGAGATGTCATTATGCAAAACACACATTAGAAACTTACAACACTTTAGGTATTAACTTTGTCGACGCTAAAGATAACCCCCCTAATGTACCGCAGTTAAGGCCAATTGAAAATTTTTGGGCACATTTAAAAGCAAAAGTTTATGGAAATGAATTTACTGCAAAAAATCTTGACCACCTTAAGAATAGAATTCGAATAAAGTTAAAAGAGTTCGAATAAAGTTAAAAGAGTTCGATCCAGACTACTTTTTCAACCTAATGGATTCAGTCAAAACTAAAGTTCGAAAAGCCGCTGATTTAGGACCACTTTTGGTTATAAAATAGTTAACAATGTCCAGTCTCTCATTTTAGTTAAAATTTTTGTCAAAAATCGATTAATTTTGTATTCAATTAAGAACAATTTTTCATTCCAGATTTTTTGTGAACAGACGTTATTTTAGATTTATTTAATAATCAATAAAAATGAATTAGGTCTTTATTGCAATAATGGTTTGATTGAAATTTGATTTTACTGATCCAATCCCTAAAACATGCATATAACAATATTTCCAAAAAATGCATATTCTGTCTATGAAAAGACAAACAAGAAAAATTTGAAATAATTATACCTAGGAAGCAAGATAAATAAGAAATTATAATTGATTTTTAAATGTACTAAAATAAATTTCTCTTAAAAAACTATTTAAATAAGTAAGCTCAAAAAATAGTAGTAAACATATAATACATAAATAAAGTAAACAATTCTGAAGAATTTTTTTATAATGGTGTCAACATGTTCTACAAACCTGTGAAACATTGCAGTAGTTAAGACATTTATGACTTCCAGTAGTTTAATTTTTGGTATAAATTAATGTTTATCAATTTGATCATTCAATCCTGATAAGTCCTTATTGATGAAAAACTGTGTATAATGAAAAAAATTTCATAATCAATTTTTTTCTAATTTATATATATACATATAGTAATAAAATTTTTTATTTTTAATGATAGATGGCTTGCCCAAACCAAACCCTCAGCGAATGTAGCAGCACTTTCTTGTAGCAGCAGGCTATAAGAAAGTCAATTAAGCAGCACTATCTCGTAGCACCACACTATAAGATAGTCCATGTAGCAGCACTCCCTTGCAGCAGCAGGCTTTTTATTCATTATTATTGCAATTTTTTAAAAAAATAATAAAACCTAATGTATTCTTCTGCAAACTACTTCTGCATTATTTTAATTGTTTTAACTTTTAGATGACATTAAAATGTCGTTTAATTGTTTTAAATTTTGTTGACAGACACTTTTTTTACCATAAAAAAGTTCTCTTTTGGCTATGATATAAGGATATATATATATATATATATATATATATATATATATATATATATATATATATATATATATATATATATATATATATATATATATATATATATATATATATATATATATATATATATTATAAAATATCATAATAATTACATTATATATTATATTATAAATTGTAAAAAATTACAAAATGATTAATCTTCTTACTAATTTAAAACCCAACTCTGCAGGTTTCCTTAAGCTATTGCTGACTGCAGGAAGTTTCCATAGACTGTGTTGCTCTGGTACAAAATGGGCTTGCATTAGTTGGCAGTATAGATGGCGAGTAAACCTCACCTATAACCAAGATAAAAATTTATCATTGTAAAAACATAAAAAAAATATTATTATTAGATAGCAGTACTTACTACCTCTACTACTACTACTACTACTACTACTACTACTACTACTACTACTACTACTACTACTACTACTACTACTACTACTACTACTACTACTACTACTACTACTACTACTACTACTACGACTACGACTACGACTATGACTACGACTACTACTACTACTACTACAATAACAGCAAATACTACTACTACTACTACTACTACTACTACTACAATAATAAGTACTGCTACTACTACAACAACAACAACTGTTATAATTAGTAGTAATGGTAGAAGTGATAGTGGTACTTAAACAGTTACAAATTGCATGCCCTTGCCTTCATTTACATTTTTGCTCCTATAAGGGGGGGGGGGGGGGCATTCAGTGCTCTTATAAACAATTATAAGAGCTATGAATTTCCAAAAACAATATTCTGGGCACACTATGCCTTGCAAACTCTTCTAGCAGCTAATTCTTTTATTTCTTTTTTTTTTTTTTAATCAATCAACATTGATATCAAAATATTTTTTGGGTGACCATAATATGCATTAATAAACGTATCTATTAATTATAAGTTGATCACTTTCAGAAAGAATTTCTGGAATACTCTTTCTAAACTTTCAGAAAGGAAAGAGGAGAACTGAATTAATCACCATTAGTGTTTTACCCCCATGAAACATTAAGGCTCAATTTTTAAAAAAGAATCACACCATTGCATAAACTTAAAGAATATAATCAGTAAGTATTGCAAGCTTGGCAAATGGAGGAGTGCAACATACAAACAAAGGATTCAATTTGCTTTTTTCAGTCATCGAAAAATGAACAAGGGGCAGGATTTTTTTTAGCTACATTTTCTTTCACCTCACCTAATCCTATTGCCTTACACATATTTTAAAGACACTGTTGGTCTTTGCTAATATTTTTTGTCACAAGGTCATGTATGATCGATCGGTAAGTTATGTTGTCTGACATCAAATTTGGCAGCTTGTGACAATTTGCAAATGCTTTCCCAATGTTGCCACTAAATGCAGTAGGTCCAGGAGTTGTACCATTTAAATGCAATACTAAATTTCTTAATGGAAGTTCATTAAAATGAAACATACACACTAACCATTGAATTAGATAATATCTAATGCAGTTCCAGTAATCTCATTGTTCACACCAGTATTTTTGTTAGCTCCATCAGTGCCAACAGCTAACACATTATATAGGGATATTTTGATTTCATCAATAAAATCTAAAAGCATTCTTGATATTTGTAGATAATGCACTTAATAGAAAATATGACCAAGTAAAATGAAATGAGGTTCTTCTATTAACATGATATTTTCTTCAGCGATTATTTATTTACTGACAGTCCCTAATGCACAAAGAGTTCTTTTCACTTTTCAAAGAAAATTGATTTTGGGCCTACTGAACACATAGCTAACTTTGTTTTATTTGATAATGTAGTTCTATTGTCTTTGACATTTTAACTTTCTTAAAATAGCTTTGTCTATGCTTTTCTGTTGTTTGTTTGTCATTCCATAATCTAAAATTGTGGCAGTAGCAATTGCAGCTCCTGCACCATATACACTCACATTCATTGGCATTGGAAACTTTTGTTATTATAATTCTACCAGATTCACTATCTAATTCACAGAAGTTTGACAACTGATTATGGAAATTGCTGAGTGTCATTTGTGAACTCCTTATCACTATTTAGTTAATATCTGCATCTATATCAGAAGTGATACTAATAGATGCTTCCAGCAGACTGCTTTTGCTAGGCAAATAGAAATAATAGTATTTGTCTTTTTGTGCTTCTCTCAAATGCTTTGGTTAATGTAAAATCACATATTCTTATCTAAAGGACCAATAACCATATTTTTTTTATTTCTTTGATTCAATAAAAATTCACGCTCAAGTACAAGTTAAGGTGTTAAATGTATGGAAATGTGTTTTAACTGCTTTGCATCATGCCTATAAAATAATTTGCAATCAGTATTTGATAAGTTTTACAATTAACAAACGTGGCTGCATTTATTACAAATTATTTATTAAATATATTATTTATTATAAATAATTTAACAATTATTTTTTAAATATTTTATCCTGTAATATAAAATATCTATGACAAACGTTTGATTTATTGCAGATTACAAACTTAATAAAATAAACTTCAACATTAAAAACAAAATATTGCAAAAACATTTGCTAAAAATATAATCTTTTTGTACTAAAAAGTAGAAAATAAACTTTTTAATTTAAATTTAATAGTTCCGTAAACTAAAGATTGACAGGTATTTTCTAAATAAACCTTGCGCAGACCTGTTAATCTTTAGTTTACGGAACTATTAAATTTAAATTAAAAAAATTTATTTTCTACTTTTTAGTACAAAAAGATTATATTTTTAGCAAATGTTTTTGCTATATTTTATTTTCTACTTTTTAGTTTTTACAGAGAGTTATGATATTTAGCAATGCGTTTGTCTAGATATTTGTAATTAAGTCGAGCTTTTTATCTTAAAGAAACGTAGTATTTGCTGATTAAAGGAGCAAAATATTTTTCTTTTAAAAGATAAAAATTTTTTATATAAAAGTAAATTAACATAAAGTACAAATATTTCATTTGCATTGCAACCTGCGTCCTCCCACAAATGTATCATGTTTTTATATTAATATTAAAGAAAGTTAATATTAATATTAAAGAAAACATAACTTTGTAAGTTTCTTTTTCAATTTTATTAAAAAAAAAAAATTTCAAAAAAAAAAGGATTTAAAAAAAATATTCAAAGAAAAAAGTATTTAAAAAAAGATTCAAAAAGAAATACAAACCCACAAGCAATCTTAGCCAATTTTAAAATAATTTTTTATTTTTAAAAGAGAACAAAGTATATTAAAAAAAATTACAAACCTATAAGCAATATTAGACTATTTTAAAGATGAAAAGATTTGTTAATTGATAAATATTACTACTTTAAACAAACCCGCAAGCAATTTTGTGGCAAATTTTTATATAAAATGTTAGTTGTTAGTGGGCTATGGACGGCAAAAAAAGATGAAAAAGAAATCATATCAAGTTAAAAAAAAGACTATAAAATATTAAATTTTTTAGCAAACGTTTTTGCTATATTTATTTTCTACTTTTTAGTCTTTACAGAGAGTTACGATATTTAGCAATGTCAAGACATTTGAAATTAAATCGAGCTGAATGTGCGAATGGTGTAAGTACTAACTGGCATATATGTGAACTGGCATAAGTGCAAAGCAGTTAACTGGCATAAGTGAGCCAAAAGAATTTTCAAATATTGGCATAAGTGCAAAATGCAAATTGTTATTTCACTCTTATGCTAATTCGCACTTATGCCAGTTTACACTTGTGCCAATTGGCGCTTATTAAGCTTCCCGGATTAAAATGCGAAATGGCATAAGCGCGCCGAATAAAACTGCAAATATTGGCATAACGCAAATTGTCATTTTGCTCTTATGCCAATTCGCACTTATGCCAGTTTGAGTTTTTGCAACGCATCGCACCTATGCTAGTTCGCACTTATGCCAATTCGCGCTTATTATGCCTTCCCAATTAAAGGAGCAGAATATATTTCTTTAAAGGATAAAAAATTTTTATATAAAAGTAAAATAAGACAAAGTATAGATAATTCATATTGCATTCTCACCTTTTTTTGCCATCCATAGCCCTCGTCCTCCCACATATGTAATATATTTTTATATTAATATTAGACAAAATTATGTTGTAAGTTATATTTTTCAATTTTATTTAAAAAAAAAATTTTTTCAAAAAAAAAAACATTAAAAAATAAAGATTATTTTTAAATAAGAAAACAAACCGGCAAGCAGTTTAGAGGCAAATTTCTATATAAAAAGTTAGTATTTATGTGTTCCATGGTCAACAAAGAAAGTTGAGAGAGAGTTCATGTTAAGTGAAAGTAAAGATTATAAAAATTAAAACAAATTTAAATGAAATAAATTTATATATACCTACCAAGACAAGTGTGCGTGATTCAGGCTTAAAAGAACTCATACTTCTACATGTCTAAAACAAAACTATTTATTATATTTTATGTTTTTACTATTTTTTCAACATAATATTTCTTTTAAATATATATAAATATATATATATATATAAAATGTATATATATATATATATATATATATATATATATATATATATATATATATATATATAATATATATATATATATATATATATATATATATATATATATATATATATATATATATGTATATATATATACTTATATAAGGCAACTCAAAGCTTCTAAGGCTGTCCTTTTTCTGTTCAAATTTACATTTACATTATTTATTAATTTATTTTAACAAAAAATAATACCTTTGTGATTTTCTGTTAAATAGTGTTTATTAAATATAAACTTGTTTTCTGTTAAAGAAGTGTTTATTAAATATAAACTTGTAAAAAAAAAAAAAAGGTAATTCCATGCCCTTCACTCTAGAATTAACCCATAATGAGTAGGAAAAAATATTTTTTAGTAAGACAGTCTGAACACAACAATCTTTTCTCTATGTTGTAACCTCCAAATTTTAATTATTGATTCAAAGTTATTCTAGTAAGATATGATTTTTAAAGTTCAAAAATTCCATTTTTTTCAGATAAGAAATTTCTTTCAGATGAGAAATTGAATTTGAATTTCAGATGAGAAAATTTTTTCAGATGAAAAATTGAATTTCATTTATAATTATTTTAATTTTAATATTACATTTAGAAATTACTTTAATTTTTTTTCATTTAAGTTTAAATCATAAAGTTTCAGAGACTCACATTTCTAGTAAATGTTGCTGAATTGTTTGTGAGGATCTTAGAAGGTAGTGGTAAGCAAAAAGTCTCCACTCTATTTAATCCTGATTTCTATAATGTGTAGTTAGATCTTTAACAGACTTACTTATGACTCTTTTATCCATCGAGCATTTATCTATATTTTATAATTTATCTATCTATGATAATATTTCATTACTGACATTTTATAGAAATCATATAAATCAATTGCAAAGTTAGCATTTACTAAAGCCTCTTGTTATTATGGTTGAAATTTTTTACTTTTAATTCCATTATCTCTATAAATCTCTTTTTCACCCTTGTAAGAAATACTGTTGTAAAATTTGGCTTTATTATTCTAATGTCGTTTCTTTTTTTAGATAGGTCCAAAAACATATTGCTTTTATATATATATATATAATATATACATATATATATATATATATATATATATATATATATATATATATATATATATATATATATATATATATATATATTATATATATATGCATATACATTTATATATATAATATATATATATTATATATATAAATGTATATATATATATATATATATATATATATATATATATATATATATATATATATATATATTATATATATATATTATATATATATGCATATACATTTATATATATAATATATATATATATATATATATATATATTATATATATAAATGTATATATATATATATATATATATATATATATATATATATATATATATATATATATATATATATATATATATATATATATATATATATATATATATATATATATATATATATATAAATGTATATATATACACTAGGAAAGCTGGTTACTTAGGTTACAGGTTTTTAAATTTAAAGCTAATCTTATAACAAAACAATTATATAAAGAATGAAAAAAAAAGAAACAAAAGTGCAAACAAAAATACATATGTGAAAGAAAATTGAAGTTATTATCAAGAATAAACATCAAAAACAAGAAAAAAAAGTTTATTATTTTATTATTTAAAAAATAATTTTGTAATTATTATATAAAATTTTAATACAACGTTGGTTTTACTGTTTTTATATTAATTTTTTTATTTGAAATTTAAATATATAAAAATATAAAAAATATAAAAATAAAAAATATATGTAAAATATAAAAAATATAAAAACTCTAATACTTTAATATCAGATGAATCTCTTTCATAAAATGCCTGCACTGCTGAAGATACTAACTTTGGTTTTTTCTGTAAAATGTAAACAATTTCTACAGGAATATAACAAAGAGCATGATGAAACTCCTGCATAAACTTAGATGGATAACTGTAAAAAAAAAATTATATATATATTAAAAAAAGTCATTTATTAAAATGATTCTTTAAATAATAACAACATATAATGTATTAAGAGCATGGAAAATAAGAAATCGAAGGCAAGAGGTCAACTTGACCAGCCAACACAAGGCAACCAATTGTTTTTTTTCGAATAGTCACGTTTTTTTTTTAATTTAAGTTTTTATCTTGGAAATAGTTCTTCATGACTGAACTTAATTAATACAAAAATAAGGTAATGCTTGTAAATTATTATTATTAAAATAATATGAATTCGTATTATTTTAATAATAATAATTTTTTAATAAAACCAATCCTTTTTTAAAAATGCAATCAGGCAATTGATAATTTTTAATTTATTTAAAAATAATTCATTTTATTGCAATGACTTTGCGAAAGGTGGGAAAAGTTACAATAAAAATAATTTAAAAGATTAAATAAAAAAAAATACTAAGTAGAGTTGATATATATATATATATATATATATATATATATATATATATATATATATATATATATATATATATATATATATATATATTTATTTATACGTATATACATATATACAGTATTAATTAGTTAATAATTATGTTATTAACTCTCGTTTGCAATAACAAACTATTTAAACTAAATATTTAATACTAAGTAGACAATTGTTTTATGAAACACTACTATAAAAATTTACTGATGTTACATAAAACGATGTTTTACTATATATATATATATATATATATATATATATATATATATATATATATATATATATATATATATATATATATATATATATATATATATATATATATACTTTTAATAATCTTATTACAGTTAAAGTAGTAATTTTAAGCAATTAGTAATTTTAAATTTATCCAAAAATCATTCATTTATTTGTAATTAGCAGCAAAACGTACAAGAAAATAAATTTACCAAGTGCAGTTGAAAGTAAAAATGTTCTTAGTTAAATACAGAAATTATTATATATTAAAATAATACATTAAACATTTTAATTAAAATAATAGTAAACTAAGAACTTCAATTATTTGTAAAAAAAAAAACATTTTTAGCATTGGTAAAATAAAATTTTAAAAACAATATATTTAATTCAAAATATATCGAATATATTTTAAATTATAGAATTAATAATATAAAACTATTAATAAATAATTAACAATAATTATAATTAAAAATAAATTTAATTTTAATTATGACAATTATTTTTATTTATGGCAAAAAACAATGATTAAAAATTATTAATTTTTAATCATTGAACTTTTGATTTAAAGTTAATGTAAAAGCAATTTTTTTTTTAAACAAGTTTATTTTATTTTTTTAAAAGCAAGTTTAATTAAAAATTAAAAAAATATTTTAAAAATAAAGATTAAAAATTGAAAAAAAATTTATTGAAAATAGTCTAAAGTATTGAATAAATTTTTATTGCTTTAACATCTTTACACTTTCAAATCTTTCGCTTTGATGACCCACTAGCAATTAAAGTAGCATATTGTAAAAAATAAAACTATTCTAAACCCTTTCTCAAAATTTAAGTGATTTTATGAAATTTTAGTATATACATTTTCCAAATTATATTCTGACTACGACTGACGTACATGTCATTCTGACAATTTGTCAAATCAAATTTTTAAAAACTTGATTTTATTTCAACCGGTCAACCATGACCGGCAAGAACTAATTTTGGAGGTCAAAATAGCAATTTTAGTCATTTTGGGCAGTCATTGACCATTGACTGGCCGTTATTTTCCACCTGTATTAATGTCTCAATAGTGATAAAAATTATATACTGTGACAAAATATGATTTATTAGTTTAATTGATTAAATTTGTTTTAATATATTTATTTGATAATTATTTTAAATTATTACATTTGAGCCAAAATATTTTTTGTTATCTTTGATTTGTGATTGGTTACCTAACTTATTTTTCTAACATAACTACTTAATTTGTCAATAGTATTATTAAAAAAAAGAAAAAAAAAAGAATAAAAATCATTAAAAGGTCTTAATGAAAAAATATTTATTTGCTTTGCTCACTAAACGTTAAACTCTAGCTAACACAATCATAGTTTTACGAACATAATCAAACATTAAGAACATAATCATAACATAATCAAAGTTTTAAGAAACTAAAAAAAACTGCATTTTCCCCCGAAGATAATTTTCTTTAATGGTTTAATAATTTTTTTTTGAAAAGGAAGTTTTTTACCTTGAAAAAAAAACTATTGAATCATTAACAAAAACTTACAACGGGGTAAAACACAGTTTTTTTTAGTTTCTCAAAAGTTTACTTTTTTTAGTTTCTCAAAAGTTTTTTTTAGTTTCTCAAAAGTTTATTGGACTTCCGCCCTTTTAACATTCACCAATTCATATATAATATGTATATAGTTTTAACAAAAATAACTTTAAATTAAAACAACTTTTTGTATTTTAACTTAATAATTAACATTAATTTCAAAACATTAACCAATATTAATTTAAAAAAAAATCCCACCAGCTTATTCTTTTCTGTATAGCACACTGTACATTTTCGTTACCAACTGTTTTTAATGAAGATGTAAGTAAATGATAAGCTTGCTTCAAGGTTGGAGTAGAATGAAAGTAAACCATTATTTCAGCAGGATTGCTTGGGATAGGGATAAAATGCACTTTTCCATCTTTTATGAAAACCTGAAAATATTAGAAGATTTGTAAAATAAAAATAATTAATCTCAAACTAAAATGTGACATACTAATTTATTAAACACACAACAGCATTAGGATTGATAATATCTTTTTTCCTTTTTTTGTTATTTCTTTTTTGTTGGGTTTTTCTTTCTTTTTTACTTTACTTTATTAAATAAGATAAAATAAAAATTTGACAATACTGAGATCTCTTATAAATTTAACTCTTAAATATTGTCAATTGGAAGGACAAAAAAGAATTATGGGTACATAAGAATTTCAAAAATATTTTATTTTCCCTTAAAATCTTTGGCCACTGTAAGCATTGTTTTTTATACAATCACATCTATAGAACATGCATTCTGTTGATTATCTGCTACAAACATTGTTTTCAATTTCTCGATCAAGTCCTAGTTTTAAATTCAACAAACAATTCCTATGATTTGCAAAATAATCCCTTTGATAAATATTTATATTTCAATTCACTAACAATCAATATTTCAAAACACTATCAAGTAAATATAATAAATATATATACAAATTAATAAATACTAATTGCTGACTGGTCATTTCAATAAAAGCTTCTCATTGTATCTAAATTAATTTTAACAACATTAATTAAAAGGAGTTTTATCTGGTAGTGCTAAAACTCCTTTTAATTTAATTGCTTCAAGTTATGGCTCATCAGTAACATCAATCTTCAGCTCTTTTGTGTTAACATTGAGGATAACTGATAGTTTTTTTGGCGTAACATCAGTAGCTTGCATTAATTTTCTTTATCTAAAGATATTTTAGCAAGTTGTGGAACTCCGTGAAAGTGGGAGTATTAATGTATCATTAGAGCAACTATTATGCATGCTCAACTGCTTTTGTGATTATTATAGCAGCTTTTTTTTAAGTTAAATCTATGATTTTATTTTCACTATTTGGATAATTAGTGAAAATAAATTTAAACTTGATAAAAAATTATGAAATTAGATTTTTAACATTATTTCAAGAAGTTATACATTTAAAATCTCTATGACAATACGTTTTTTTGAGACCCAAGTTGACATACTTATGAATAGTTTGGTTTTTGACGATATTAGAGATTTGACCCCAAATGCTGTAAAATGCATTGTTAGCTGAACAACAGAAAATTTGTCTTTGTTGTTGACTAGTGCAACTATTAAAAGTATTATTCTAAAGAATTTATAAAAAAAAAATTAAAATGTTTGAAATTTGCTTTAGTTAGGCTTTTTAATGATTTATTATCTAGTTGAATGAAAACAGTTATTAGAGTATTATTTACTACCTGTAATAAATATTTAATAACTACAACAAATTTAATAACAACTATTTACCAACTGCAATAAATTAAGGTAGCCAAATAGTTTATTTTCAACAAATATTATTGATTTTATTTATACAGTTTTAAAAAATTGCATTAAAAAAAAATTCAAAACACCACATTTGGACCCTAATTTTGTGCCACAAACCCAAGTCAAGTCAAAAGTCAAAAGACTCATCGATAAGTATTGAGATAATGCTAGACATCTTAAAAATTATTAAACGCTCGGCTTCCGAATACTATGTGACACTTAGTTAATTTTGAAGTTTCTTCAAGTGCACATGTTAGCTACGCTGTGCTACGTTTTTATTTTATTTTTGACTAGGTCATGTCACAGCACGCATTACTTTTGATTGTTACATCAAATTATTTTTTAAGATATTTTATAAATAACTATAGTTATTTATAAAATATCTTACTCTTCAGAACATTCAAAGAAATTACAGAAATAACCTGCCCAGGTATATCTTGCATTTTTAAGGTAAATTACTATAGATATAGCACAAAAAACTCCAAACTTATTAAAAACGATATCTTCACTACAACCTGAACTTAAAACATGTTTTAACTTTAATGTGAATATCAATTATAGGTTGTCTTTTTTATTGATGCACATTCCAGAACTAATTTCATGGAATTAGTAAAAACACAACAAGCAGAACTAAAAAAAAATTTAAATACTCTGAGAAAGATTTTGATGTGTCACACATCAATATTTTTAGAGAACGATTAAGTAGGTGAATAGTAAATCTTTCTCAGTGAAAGACTGCTTGACACTTGTGAACTATTGCTGGTGTCTAGGAGCATCAGGGAAGATTCATCTCCGCTTTGTAAAAAAAAAGAAATGTAAATGAAAAAAATCAAACCAATCTACAAAAAAAAGCACACATAAAGATGTGGAAAATAAAGTTCCAACTGCAAACAAAATTAGTTTTTACATGAAACTGTTTTCTTAAATTGGACAATAAACCCTTATAAATTGCATTTAGCAAACGCAAAACATTATACTAATAGAACTTGCTAATATTTTCTTATTTTTGCCGGTGGCAGTGTAAATAGTAAATGACTAATTTTGAAAGTATGTATAAATTATAAAGAACTTGCAACCATTTGTTATCATCAAACGATGAAAATGTTTTTATCATAACTTACCACTTTAGATTTAAACATTACATACAGCTAATTATGTTAACTATTTGTTAAAATAAAAAATAAAAAAAATAGTAATCCATTTTTATGCATATTTTTTTGTTACAATCTGGTATATGGCCAAATAGTTTGCAATATTCGGCCAAATTCTGAATAGTAAAAAAAGTAACTGAAATATGTCGCATACAGAAGTTACAAATATTTGTGACATCTCAAATATATATAACAAAAACTGTAAAAAGTTTTAAAGTACCATAACAAATAGTTCTGAAGTTATTTATTGCAGCATGCTTAAGAGACATTCTGAGAAAAACCCAATTTAAGATAATAAAAATTAAAAAAAAATAAGTTGAAATATCAAAACAAACTTTTATTTCATTTCTAAAGATTTGTTATCATTCCTCAAGTTTTGTGTATATAACTGTACACAAAATCTTTTTCATTTTTTCTAACTTATTATGTGTCAACTTAAATCCAAACAAAAAATACTTAGACTTATAAATAATATTTTAAACTAAGAAAATTTTTATCATTAACATTTTTATTTTCAGACTTTTATTTTAAACTAAGAAAATTTTTAACATTTTTTGTACTTGTATTAGCATTATGATATAATATAATCATTTTTTTAATTTAGTTTATAAATTTCAATTTTTTTTTTAAATTGTTTTTTAATTTAATAGTTAACTGGAAAGGAGAAAGAACATAGGACTAGGTTTTTTCATTTTATTACTGCTTTTTATCTTTTATATTTTTTTGTTTTGATAAAAAATCTGACCTTTCTAAACCATCTAAAACAAAAGGTCTATCTAAAAAGACGACCATCTAAATTTATTTGAATTAAAGCTTCAAGAAATAGACAGAAAGAGTTTTTTTTTGTGTAAGTTTAAATGACTGATAAAAACTAATTTTAGCTAACTAAAACAGCAGTTAAACCAATTATGGTTTAACTGCTGTTTTTTTTTAATTATATCTTCAAGGCCTCATGTTTTTTTTTGAGCATCTAAATTGGATATGTAAAAAATAATATGACACTATTTAAATTTTATTTTAATTTATATAAATAACATAAATTTAAATTGATATATTCATATATCTTTTATTATATGAAATTTTATATGTAAAATGTTTACCCCTTAACCAAAGCTTATATGCTTCTTTTCTAATTTAATCAATGGCAGAGAAAGTAAAAAAGAAGTTTATTATTATTTTTTCAAGTGACAGCATTAACAAAGAAAATTCAACTAAATATCTTTTAGTAGAAGTCATAGAACAAAATTAGTAAATTTTGAGACGAAAAGCTTTTTTTATATAAAATTATTTATATATATATATTAGGGTGGGTCATAAAATTTTTTTTTCTCGTTACATTTTTTCAACATTGCTAATAGTTATAAATATTGATACTATCAAATATGAGAATGATTGTGATAGACTTAAAGGGCGCAACTTTATTGGGAAAATTACCGGTACCCTAATATTTTGGAGAAAAAAAGTTTTTCAAAAGTAGGTCAACCTGGTACTCAAAAGAAGCGAAATTTTATAAAAAATTCGAAAATAATAATCGTTTTATGAAAATCATATTGCCAAAAAAAATTGTTATTAAAAACATGTAAAATTGCACCTTTTTCACTTTGAGTTAAAAAACTATAGTTATTATGCAATAAAATCTAAAATAATAATTTTTATATGAAAAAATTATTATTTTTGAAATTTTTATAAAATTTTGCTTTATTTGAGTGCATCACATAAGTTTGAAAAACTTGTTTTTGAATAATAATAGGGCCTGCTAATTTTTGTAATTATAGTTGCGGGTGAAAGACATTGTTCAATCCATAAAAGTAAATACTTTCCTAAATTAGTACATAAAAAAACAACTTTCCAGACCATAGCCAGGTTAGCAACTTTAAAAAAAAATCTTATGACCCACCCTAATATATATATATATATATATATATATATATATATATATATATATATATATATATATATATATATATATATATATATATATATATATATATATATATATATATATACATACATAAATATATATATATATATATTTATATATATATATATATATTAAATATTTAAATGAAAAAAATACGACTTTTTTATGGGACTTCAAGTTTCATGCCATTCGGCAATCATTCAGCCATATATTTAAAAATCATTAAAATAAAAACCGTTATAAAAATACAAAATTGCGTTGCAACGAGATCAAACGTCAGTTTTCACGCCAAACGGGAACTTATTTAACCGGTGTCGAAATTCGATAGCAAAAACTTTTTTCTGTGCCTACATGCTGAAACCAATTCACTTTTTTTATTTAACAAAGGTTCTTTATTGTATGTTGAAATAAAATATTACTCATTTATGCAAAGATTACATCTTTTTGAGGATGAGTTATAGGGTTGACATTTTTTAACAATACTCCACTTGATTATTGGTTTAATGCCTGCTTCCTTAAGTTTCCAGATCTCTTTAGAAAGTTCAGTGTCATTTTTATACCTGACCAAGTTGA